GCGTATGTAGCGTAGCTTATTTTAGCGGGAAGTTGTGTGTCGTAGCATATCGCAGTGCGTTGTATCGCTATGGAATTCAGCGTAACGTATTGTACGGCATCTCAGGCTTTCATGGTTTCAAAAATCACAAGAAATTTTGGACGTTGCAATCTCAAAATAACTTTGGAAAATACAGGTCACTTCTGGATACAGGTAAAATATACAATATACCCTCAGAACCCGCGTATTTTGAGTCGTTTAAAGTTTTATTAAATTGTAGCTCGTTTTCTAAAATCCTTAGCACAGTTTATGGTTACAAATGACAGCTCCAACATCTGTCTCAAACCGGGAAACACGCGCAAAAGGCGGAAACTCGCTTGTTGGGTGGTAATCTAATTTACACGCGTCTTGTTTGGGCGCATCCGGAGGGGTTTTCCTACGAAGTTCGGGTTTAGAACTCGAAAAACATCAAATATATTCCAAAAGGCATACAAAAATCAGCAGAAAACAAGCCATTGACAAGCTAACAAATATTTTTAAAAAATTTATTTTTCCGGAGTAAAAAAACCGTCAGATTTCAAGGCAGCTAAAACGGATTAGGTTTTCCGAGGAGTTAGGGTCAGCCGTGACTGGTCAGTTTCTCCGTTTCTCTGGCCGCTCTCTGTCTCTCTCGCTCTCTCTCGCCTTTCTCGTCCCTTTAGAATCCCCACGGGACCTTCGAAAGGGGACACGACGCCTCGGAAAGGCGGAAAAGCGACAGAAACATATCTGGACGACGCCTCAAAACAATGCTGAGGCTCTCTAGCGTCTCTCTCCCTCTCTCTCTCTCTCTCTCTCTCGCGCGCTCTCTCTCTCCCTCTCTCTCGCTTTTAGTAACATTGCCCGGCAGCGAACGGGGGTCCAAAGTGGAGATTCTCGACAATCTGTCACATCAGTTTTTGGTCAGGAGCGCCCTCGTTTTGACCCCTTCAGGGCTATAGAAATGTAGCTTTTTAATATTAAGTTTTTATGCTTGATTTAAAGCTTGAATTTTGTTTTAAAGGCAAAATGACAAACGATTCCAAAAAATTGTGACAAAACTTATTATCCAACCTAATAGTCTAGCGTTTTCCACAGAAAAATTCCTGAAATTCTTAGTAAGATTTGTGTCGCGATCAGGATGGTTTAAAGGACCAGAAAAGGTTGGTTGATTCACCTCACCGCGATACCCTCTACCGCTTGGATTTAGCCGATCAAATTTGGCGCGTAACACACCTCCGTTTATCGTTTTTGCCGCTTGGCGACGCGCGGCGTTGGTCTACTCCGGCACGCTATAAAAATACGGATGTGCGCTCCGCGTGTCGCGCATCGACTACGGTGTCAAACCTATGAGGAATCCACCAAAAAAATTCCCTAAGATGCCTTGTCCGGTCCTTTAATACTGAACTAGACTTTGCTAGACCTTTTCGACTTGGCACAAGTAGTTTTTCGGGGGTGTACCCGGAAATTCCAATTCCTCTTCTCCTCGCCTAACCTCTCAACAATTGACTTCCGGTGGTCGAGGAACAACGAAACGCTATGGGGGGCACCCACAAACCCAGCTTTTCCCTAATTCGGGTCCGGGTTGAATTTGTGGTCTCTCCAGTTTTATCCACCGAGTTTTATATATTAGGAATTTTCCTTTAATTCTTCTCGTTATTTTCTTACATTTTTTATGCCATGTAGTGCTACAGCTACTGTAAAAATTCATATCTCATTCACTTCATTCATTCACTATTGCCTCATTCGCTCGCTCTGCCTCTCTCGCTCTCGCTCATCTTTCTATTTCTCTCTCTCTCTCCTCTCTCTCTCTCTCTCTCTCTCTCTCTCTCTCTCTCTATTTCTCTCTCTCTCTCTCACTCTCTCTCTCTCTCTCTTTCTCTCTCTCTCTCTCTCTCTCTCTCTCTCTCTCTCTCTCTCTGAGTTTCCCACGTTCTCTGACCGCTAAAAGACAACCCCGTCACAATTAATGGCCATCAGGAGACGTGAGACCCCTTTTCTACCCGAAGGGCTATAAAGGGACCCGACGCGCCGCCTAAAATGCACTACCCCCAAATGCAATCACGGCTAATTAAAGGAGCGGGTGTAGTGGATTTGGGTGGTATCAGAGGGGTAGAGAGACAGAGAGAGAAAGAGAGAGAGAGAGAGAGAGAGAGAGAGAGTGAGAGAGAGATACGGGCAAGCTTGCAGGGAGCCTTTCGGAAAAGACTTAAAGGCCGAAAAACTATTGAGAAAGAACGAGAGTGAGAAAGCGAGAGAGAGCGCGAGAGTGAGAGAGAGTGAGAAAGAGAGCAAGAGATAGCTACAGAGACAGAGAGCCCCCTAGAAAGCGTCAGATTTGATTCCGAAGCGTGTGTGAGCGTGGACATCCCCCTCTTCTTCTTCTGCTCCTTTTCCTCCTCCTTGTACCCCCTTCCGTATTTGGTGAGGGTCCTCCTCCCCTCCTTGATTCAGGGTCACTTCACTAGATTTCCCGCCGGGATCCCCTCTCGCTATCCTATTTGGTGCCCTGGGGGCATGACTTCTTCCGATTGAGCTGCAGCTCCAGCTGCTTCTTCTTTCTTCTTCTCCATCTGTCTTTCTTGTCGCAGTTAGAAGGGGCCACTTACCCAATTACCCTGATTCCGTTGGAGGACTATGGACGGAGTTGTACGTTCGGAACGTAGGGTACTTTCTGAGGGTCAGGAAATTTGAATTTAGGGATTCTGGGTGGTTAGCTAAATGTCTAAAGGCTAAGCCTCAGAAACAGTCCAAAAACTGAAAAAGAGAGAGGAGATATCGTGAGCGAGAGTGAGAGAGAGGGAGAGAGAGACTTAAAACGAGCGCGAGAGATAGCAAGAGCGAAAGATACATTTCCAGAGAGAGAAGTAGAGTGACAACTGCTTATTTTGCCGAATCATTTTCCTATTTTTTGCTTTATTATGTTCCTGGTATTTTTTGACGACTGTCCATAAGACTAGTATGCAATTTGGCCCGATCGACAATTTTAAGCTCTAAAAACTTTGTTTTCCCAAAACCGGAAACCGTCTAATGGAAAGTTGCGGAAATTCGGAACTCCCCCCGGATTAATTTGAGCAGGGTCGATGAAAAAATCGGAGGCGTCTGGTATTTAAGCCATACTCGAGTCGCGGGTCCAGATAATAAATTGAGGCTTTGACGGTTTCGAAACACTACGCCTTTATCGATTCAAAATCTTATCTTCTTATTGTTTTCGTCTAGAAAGGGAATTTTTCATTATTTCGAAATTTTACGTTTTCATCAAATCACAATCTTTTTCTAGCCCCCGCATAAATTGCGTTTTCGTCTAGGCAAATAGTAGGTGACCCGTAGCGTGCGGATGATATTAGTTTGGAGTATCTCGGCGTATATGGATCCGAAAAGGATAAACGGCTCATTGAAAAGCGCAACTTCGTTTCGGAGCGTTTGATCACCATATTTCGTGTTTTCTTTCTCGTCTCTTCTAGACGGGTTTCTGGCAATGAATTTATCAGCTTTCCTCCTAGGTATGAAACGTCTTTTCAACTATCAAAAATTCACGTTTTCCGGTGTTTTTATTTTTTGCTGCCTCTGCGGTGGTTGCCAGTGTTGAGGCTCTTGCTCCTTGGCTCAAACTTCGGATGAATGTCCCTAATGTAACGTCAGCCAATTTTTTGGTGTATTTTGTCAGCTTGATGTTTTTTACCTCTTTTGCCAAGTTTATAGCTACCGTGTTTCCAAAATTTCGATTTTATAGATGCAGCGAAGACCAAGCCTGAGGTAATCCGAGCCAGCGGGTACAACCGGAGGTGAATATTTTTAAACGATAAAAAGGTATCCAAATATATATTGAAATTCAACTAAAGTCACATATAGCTTTTTAGCTTTTTTTAGCTGAAGTTTAATAAAGGTTAATGGCCTGTAAGCAAAAGATTAAATTTCAAAGGTCAAAATTAAACTTTTAAAAAATAAAAATCAAGCTGTACCTGGTTAACAAATTTTTAACTTTGCTAAGGAAAAACTGTATTTTTCAAAAAAATCCCGGCCCGAAAGCTATTCTCGGCCTTTGCTGTACAGGGTGTCCCAAAAAAAACGACCCATCTGGCATTTCGCCGTGTTACATCCATCCGGCCCCAAATTTGGACCAGAGGTGTATCAGACCTTAAATAACAACAATCCTGATTTACAGCCCCATAGCTACAGTAGTTTTAAAGTTATAACGAAAATACTGTTTTTCCCAGAATTCTGAACAGTTTTATCGGCTATCTTTTTGGACTTTGCATCGATTTCCATCGACTTCCGGCTGCGAATCCCTAATTTCGCTTAAGAAATTGGGTCGTTTTGCGTTGTAAAAATTGCTTAAATCGAAGCTTATTTAATTGATTTTACTCTGGAAAAAATTTCTTACGGTAAAGAAGGCCTACCGGATCATTTTCACTTAATGTTTAGGGGGTCTAATTCCACGAAAACCCTATGAAAAATGGAAAATAAAGTTTCTTTTCGCTATAACTCGAGAACGACTGTAGCTACCGGGCTATAAGTCAGGATTGTTGTTATTTAGGGTCTGATACACCTCTGGTCCAAATTTGGGACCGATTGGATGTAACACGGCGAAATGCCAGATGGGTCGTTTTTTTGGGACACCCTGTATTTCCGTTACAATACGGGAGCGTACGGTATCCGAGCTGTGTTTTAACAAAACTTAAAACTCTCAATTTTGCCTTCCAAGCCCCTTTAACCCCCTTCCTGATTCCGGAACTTTCCTATCAACCCCCATCTGGTGGTGGTTGATGTGGTGGTGGCAGTTGAAAGGGGGTGGGTGTGGCCCGGGCGGGTTGGTTATTCCATTTGGCCCCTTCTTCCGCCCTCTCTTCCACTTTCCGCCACGCCCTCTTTGGCTCCTCGACCACCGATAGATTGAGCATCAACTTTTGGATCCAACGGCCGCCCTAAAATCGATCGAAACCGTGCCCAATTTCTATGAAATTCTTTGTTTTTATGGATTCCTGATATGTGAATGGATTGCGATGAAGTCGCGCCGTCGTTCTTGGGTATGAAAATGTCATTTTTGACGGTTTTAAAGGGTACAGGAAGGCCGCAGCCGAGGCTGTGCTAAACCGAAGCCTAAGCTAAGCCTATGCTAAGCCTACTCTAAAACTAAGCTGAACCTAAGCCAAGCCGACGCGTAACCTAGGTTAAGCCGAAACTAAGCCCAAGTCAGGCCTAAACTAAGCCTAAGCTAAGCTTAAGGTAAGCCTAACCTAAGCCAAAGCTATGCTTACGACAAAGTTGCGTCGAAGCTAAGCTTGAACCTAAGACTAACAAGGGAAGTGCACGACCGGCCCACGAGAAATCGACACGAGACATAATGGATCTGATAGAATCGGACACGGGGATTCCGAATCTGTAATCAGAATTTGCTAAATAAAACGGAGAAAAAAGTTATGAAGCTTCAAAGTTGGCAAAATCGCCCAAAATCGGACTTTTATGGGCCTGTAAAGGCCCAGGGAATGGAAATCTGCCACAACCCATTAGTGCATCTTGTTCAGCAGAAAAAGCCCTTTCGAATGAGCTATCTTACTTTAAGTTTACGATGATTTCGCGAAAATCTCTTCTATGAACTTGACAGGCCATACCCTTGCCCGTGAATCCAAAAAAAACTTTTTTCAGTGAATTGTTTGCACATGCTACATATTACAGCTCATTCGAAAGCGTTTTTTCTGCTGAACAAGATGCACTAATTCTTTTCTCCTCAATTCCGTTCCACCGGTTTCTACGGGCCCTTAAAGGTACGGTTTTTCGCGATTTTGCCAACTTTGAAGCTTCATAACTTTTTTCTCCGTTTTATTTAGCAAATTCTGATTACAGATTCGGAATCCCCGTATCCGATTCTATCAGATCGATTATGTCTCGTGTCGATTTCTCGTGGGCCGGTCGTGCACTTCCCTTGTAAGCCCCACTTAAGCCTAAGCCTAAACCCAAGCCCATGTCTACTATTAAGGCTAAGCCTGAGCTAACGCTCAAGTTTAGCCCTTAAGAGTCTAAGCCTAATGAGCCTAAGCCAAGCCAAAGCTAAGCCGAAGCCCAATTCTAATTTTTTGGATTCAGGGGTTTGTTAAGGCAAAAATCTGTAACATTTTGTTTTTATCGTACCTTGAGGGGTTTGGGTTACTAAAAACCAAAAATAAAAATTAATAAAGCTAAATTTCCACGTTCAGATGTCGCACCCGAGCTGGGTGATGGTCTCCTTCCTCACCGAGGTCCTCAGCAACAACATCAGGTACGGCAGCTGGGATTACGGTAGAAAAATCGCCATTTAGCCTGGCCCAATCGCCGACAAACTGCTCGAACGATACGGAGATTATCAACTTGCTGATAAGGGATACGTATAATAAGGTGCGTGATGAAAATAATGTTCCTTAAAGGGACTGGGAAGTCATGGATTTGGTCAATTTTCTGGCCAAAAGCAGCCTTACTGGTACCTTTAAAGGCCTGGCAAGGCAGCACTGTGGATGTTGTCAGCTAGGCTTGCCTTTCCCGGCCCATTAGAGCGTTTATTAAACGCCAGATTCGACCCCTTCCCATCGCTAGGTTTCGACAAGTCCAACAACGCGTCAATGTGTCTTTTGATGCCATTTTCGCGCGTTGAGCGTTTAAGCTCATTTTTATATTCTGTAGCTCCTGATTTTTAACCGTGTTTTGGAGCATAACTTACTTGTCGAGATCCAGTCAAAGGGTAGTCGATCGATTTTTCACTTCCTGGTACCTTTAAAAGCTGCTTTTTTTTCAGCACTATCTCCCCCAACACCCAGTGCAAGTCCGCGTTGACATGTGGGTCCAAGAAGTCACCGCCGTTTCCGAGTTGACGCAAGATTTTGAGATCGGTAAGACTTGGCTGATTCTATAATTTTTTTTGGCTACCGGCTGCCTCATTATTTTGGCAATCGAATTTTATAGTTCCGTCTGGAATTCGGTTATGACAGCCGGCTTTTTTATATGTTTTATGCCAAAATTCGCGATCTTTTACTCCCGTGTGACCCCTCCGAATATTTACCCACGACCCCCTATTGCTCCTTGACTTCCACTATCACCCCCCTGGGTCGTCGTGTCTAGTCGGGAATTGGAGCTCGGATTTCGGGTGTTTGGGGGGCATCAAAGAGATAGCTTGTAACGTCCTAATTTCCTTAAGATCATTCCGAAAAATTTACGAAGGCATGAGACCGACGTGTTACGTTTAATTACAGTGCTCGAAAAGGGTATTTTCTCACCATCCCCCTCGCTTTCATTCTCTCTCTCTCTCTCTCTCTCTCTCTCTCTCTCTCTCTCTCTCTCTCTCTCTCTCTCTCTCTCTCTCTCTCTCTCTCTCTCTCTCGCTCTCCCCCACTTTTTCTTCCATCACACTTTCTCTTTCCCACACGCTCTCTAGCTCGCTCTCTCTCTCTCTCTCTCTCTCTCTCTCTCTCTCCAAAAGTATCTATTTTTAGCATCGTTCTTTGCTACCGCAAAAAAACTCCCCCCTCGGCAACAGTTAAGTGGGACGTGCCAGAATGCCAGAATTGAAGGGCCGACTTTCCGACCTCCCCGATTTCGTGGCGGGACCCCGTCCCTATAGACGACCCCTGTGACGCGCCGTAATCAAATCAGAACGGACCACCCCCTCCATCTTTTGGGTCGAAGGACGAGGAGAAGAAGCTGTGGAAGGGAGGGGAGGAGCAGTAGAGAGGAAAAGCCACTTTCGGCCCCTCAACTAGGACCCAATCAAACCATGGAGATAGGGTTCTTGATTTGGATGGGGCAAGGGATCGTTGTGAAAAAATCTGATAGAAATTGTCATTAAAGGGGGATGTGACAGGAAGGAATCCTTAAAATTCAAAAATAAGCTACTCGAAGGCGAGACTCGGCAAACAAAAAGACAGAGATAGAGAGAGAGAGAGATAGAAAGAGAGAGAGAGAGAGAGAGAGAGAGAGAGAGAGATAGAAAGAGAGAAAAAGCCAAATAACGCTAATTTTTCAGACCTCTACATCAACGAATTCTGGGAAGACCCGGCGTTGGCCTATGAACATCTAAATCCGTGCAAAACAAACTACTCCTTTGACGATAAAGTAAGTTTTATTCATTTTTAAGACTAGCATCTGTTGATATAGTCAATAGTCTGTTCCTCCAGGTCCTTAAACGACTCTGGATCCCGAACACCTGCTTTATCAACTCGAAAAATGCCGCCATCCACGAGTCGCCGTTTCGGTAGGCATTTTTGACCGTTCTCTCCCTCTATCTGTGTTTCCCTCGTTACATGTCCCTCACGGTATCTCCCGCATTCCCTTACAAGCAGATGCTAATATTCGGTCTTGCAGAAACGTCTTCCTTATGATATTTTCCAACGGAACTCTATGGACGAATTACCGAATGAAAGTCACCGGGCCATGCCAGATGAATTTGAAGCGATTCCCGTTCGATCGACAAAAATGTTTGCTCACCTTCGAATCGTGGGTTTTGACTTGAAAATCCTTGAGAAACTATGTAGCTGAAATTTGCTTCACTTACATCGTTTAACGAGCGTGGTATTAAGGAATAGTAGTATTAAGGTTATTTTTCAGTTATAACTACAACACCGGCGAAGTGCGAATGGAGTGGAATCGACCTTTCTCGGTGATTCTGATGAAAGACATCCAGCTGCCCGACTTCGAGCTGGTCAACTTCTCGGATGAGTATATTGAACAGGTTCGTAGCCTTAAGATTGCATTCAAAAAACTCGCGATTTCAGCAATACCCAGCCGGGCTGTGGGACGAGTTGACGGTGTCATTTGTATTCAAGCGTCGTTACGGGTGGTACATCCTGCAGGTGGGCAATAATTTTATTTTATGCTTACTGTCAGCCGTCCAAATTCAGGGTTACATTCCAACAATGGTCACCATCGTCATCTCTTGGATTTCATTCTACCTGGGACCGAGGTAAGTGACTTTTAAAGGGACTAGCAGGCCTGTATTTTGGTAGCCTTTTGTAGTTTATGGTTTATTGCATGGCTACTATGACCTATCCACAACCGGTGGATGAACAAACAATGAATCCGGCGTTTTCAAGCCGTTTTTAGAGCCATCCCAGCCCGGACGATGCTTGGAGTCAACTCTCTGCTTGCCATGACGTTCCAGTTTGGAAATATCATCAGGAATTTGCCTCGGGTTTCTTATGTGAAGGCGATTGACGTGTGGATGCTAAGGTTTGGCTTATGTATCTCTCTCCCTCTCTCTCCCTCTCTCTCCCCCTTTCTCTCTCTCTCTCTCTCTCTCTCTCTCTCTCTCTGTTTCTCTCTCACTTTCTATCGCTCTCTCTTTCTCTCGCTTTCTCTCGCTCACACACTCTCTATATAGCTCCTTCTCTCTCACAAACTATCTCTCCCGCTTTATCTTTCTCTTTCCCACTATCTCTCTCGCTCTCTAAGACTCTCTCTCCCTCTCTCTCACTCCCTGTCTCTCTCTCTCTTACTCTATAGCTAACTTCCCTTTTTCCAGCGGTATGCTGTTCATCTTCATGTCCCTCCTCGAGCTGTGCGTGGTCGGTTTCATGTCCAGGAACGAGGGCCTTCCCCCAAAACCGAGCAGAAAACGAAAAAGGTCTGAATTCCGCATCACTGCCCTCGAAACGGTAAAATTTTAGGGAGGCCGAGGAGGAGGACGTCGCGTGGAAAGGAGCACAGAGTAGTCCACACCTCGAACTGCGACAATTCTGGGTGGACAAGCGGTGTTCGTCGATGCGGAATCATGATAATCATAATAATGAGGTGAGGGAAAGCGAGAGAGAGAGAGAGAGAGAGTGAGGGAGAGAGAGGGAGAGAGAGCGAGAGTTGGCGAGGGTGAGAAAGAGCCTTCGATCACGAGTTCACGCTCAAATTTTAGGCCGCACCTCCCGAATCCGATATGCCAGCCCTTGCCACTATCAAACGCTCCAGAGAACGCCGATCGTTCTTTGGAGCCGTCCGGAAACGCTGGAAGAAAATGCCGACAATCCGCCCGGAAGTTGTCGATTTTTATAGGTAGACCGAAATTTTAATCAATTACGCCATCAAATTCCAGCGCCATCCTATTCCCCACCTGCTACTGTATGTTTAACATTGCGTAAGTGGAACGGCTCAAAAAATAATGTTAGATTTTAAGGTACTGGACGTACTATTTGACGGACTTGTCGAGCTCAGTGGAATTGAATTTGGATGCGGCAATGCCTGCAAAATAATTTGAGGATCGATATCTCTCTCTCGCTCTCTCTCTCTCTCGCTCTCTCTCTTTCTCGTACATTGCCGCCTTCAATGTCCCTTTAAAAGTACACTTTCTCAGGTCATTACGGGTAATTTGTTCTGAAAAATCTGTCTATTTTTGTTATTTTTATTACCGTAATTCTATTCTCCAAATCATTCCCCCCAAAATGGGTTCCGCCGTGTGTTCTTTCCAGATCTTTTATTGTCCCTAATATGATTCGCCAGTTATTTGATACCTTTTATGTGTATAATTTAATTGAATTAATTTAATAAATTTATATTCCGAATCGACGATAAAAATACATTAAAACGAATAGGTATATTTTTGTGGGGTATGAAAAACGCGTCTGCAAAGGGGTCAGACTTTATTTTCATCGGGCAATCAATAGTTTTGGGTTTGGTGATAGAGAAAAATCACAAATTTTGGCGTTTGTTGCAGGGTGAAGTTTGTAGCTTCTGGTTTGTAGTTCATAGAGTGTTGTTTAAAAATAATTTGATAGAGATCTGGTCTTAAACGGAGCGTGCCAGCTGGAAAAGCGTCAGTTAGGTAGTTTAATGGAATTTTGCAGCCACCAGTTTGAATTGGAACCTCAGAAAGGTGACGACGCGAAGTTTGTAGTTTGTCAATTTGCGCTGTAGCGTCTGTATTTTGTAAGCGAGCCATAGAAACGTGCATTAATCGGGGGCAAATCCGTGGGAAACGTCAATTTGAAGGCTACGGTAAGTTAAAAGATCAGAAATCAAGTAAATTGAAATCCGTAACGCAAACTACAGTTGGCACACCCCTTTTAACAATTCAATATATACGGTATAGGAGCGGTGGAGCACATTTTAGAACCGCTGAAAACTGGGCGAATTCTGCGGTGGGGGTGGATTGCGCATAAATGAGGGGGTGGGGAAACGATCGCTGGTCACCACCACCGGCGGCTCTTCGATTCGCGGGATTTGATACCTAAATTTCAGTAATTTTATAATTAATCCCTATGCGCAAGACAAAGTAAAATCAATTAAAAACTAACAGCTAGATCTAAAAATTAAAATTTTGAAGTAGCAAACTCACTTTTGGTCGACGTATCGCTCAAAATCGCCGGCCTGATCCTCGATGGCCATACTAAAACTATGGTTTTTTCAACCAAAACAGTTAAATTGGAGTTTAAATCGTAAATTCAAATTTTTTTTCTTTCCTCTTAAAACTCACGAATTCCCGCTCCACACGTATCTGGGTCCGTCCCGAGGCGCGTCGTGTACTCGTTGGGTGTCGATTGGTGCCTGGCGCAGCTGGGAGAAGGAGACGAAACCGAGGGATGGATCGAAACCCTCATCAATTTTCCCTCCATTCCCGTAGAAGCCATTTCCGGGCGTGATTGTTACCTGAAAAAAAGAAATAATGATTTACCAGATTTTGCGCATGTTCTCTACCTCGCATCTCGCTCGTAATTATTTTTCCTATAGCTGTTCCGACATTTTTAGCCTGGTTTTTAGCTTTTTCTATCCAGATTCGATATTATTCGAATTTTGGGATGTTCGACTAATTTTCGATTTTTTTCTTCTTTAGAAATTTTGGTATTTTTCGGCAGTTCCCAAGCTTACCGATTGTACATAGTCCTTTTGAAGCAACGCCGGGGCGCAGAGATCCATGAAAAGTTGGCCAAATAATGAGGTGACCAGGATGGCTACGATACAGGCCACGAGGACAACAGAAGCGTAGTTGAGCAGTTCGGGGAACGCCATCGAACCCACGAGGATTGACGGGGCCAGGGCGGCCTAAAATCGATAGAAGATGATCGTTTCGGAATCCTGACGTTTGCTTTTGTTCCGGCAGGTTTTGAAAGCTCTTGAAAATCACCTGAATTGTTGCTTTGGGAAAGAATGAGCCGACGAAGACGAGCTGCTCCGAGAAACGCAGGCCAGAGCACATCGTCAGCAGGATGACACCTGTAACGGTTTTTTAGCACTGGGAAGCTTTGGTAATGTGCGTAGGTCTGCTGCATAGGTTGGTTGTTTGCCAATTTTGTGACACCGTAATGTGCGACTTACCCACAGCCCTGGCGGCGATACCAATCCCGAGGCAGGCCAATCCTAGTGCCACTCCCTCACCGGTCGTCTAAAGGAATGTAACGTAACTGGGCTACGGTTTACTTTACCCCCCCCCCCCCCCCCCAGCCGGACATTTTTGGCTATAACTTTTTTATTTTACATTATTGTAGGCTCAAATTAAAACTCTTAATATATTTTTCGACGCTCTATCGAATGGCGTTGCAAAACTCCCGACAAAATAAGCGAAAATACCGACAACTTTGAGACCCTTCGGCTGTGGGGGGGGGGGGGGGTAAAGTAAACTCTTACCCGTAACTGTGGTAAATTAACACCGAAAACCGCGTAAGCTAATATTTTACAGCAAATAAACACCTATAAAACGTACGTTCGGAATGTCAAACTTCATGCCAATCAACACGAATAGAATTGGCTGGAAGAGCAGATTCCAGAGCGTGGCGAACGTCTTCTCCTCGATGTACGTCTAGTTGGCGAAGTAATGGGGGCGCTAGCCAACAATTCAATACCTTTTTCTCGCTATCCAGCCGCCACATGCGGATTGCCGTCAGGCAGGTGGTGATCAGGGAGATGACACCGGCGAATTCGACCTTGAGTCTGAAAAATCAGCAATTTTGGGTTTAAAGGGGCTCGAAAGGCAATATGCCGGACCAAAAATTAATGTAACCCATGGAGTTTAATATTTTTGTGTGATTTAAATCAACGGGGAATCAAAATGTCAAAAGGTTGTCCTAAAGCCTTCAAATCGCGGGTACGCCTATTTAAACCGACAAAAAAGTCTGATTTTGCACTGCGAAATCACCGTAAGCCATTAAAAATATTTTTTTTAAGGTTTTGAGGAACCAGAAAGGCATCACACTTGAGGAAAAGCTACCGTATAGCCGAGAACAACAACGCCGTCCCGATCGTGAGTAGCAGGATAGCTCGCGCCAAGTGCGTATAGGTGTCGCCGCGTCGCGGGAACCACCAGACTAGCCAGCCTGAAAATACGGTAATTAATTCAAAATTAACGCTTTTTCTTGATTCTTATCTTTTTGATTTCATAAATTGTTATTGGCAATAAAACAAAAAAAAATAATTTTTACTTACCGAAAAAGTTGCCAATGATCACTGCGGCGACCAGCTCACCGATTGTCGCGAGGATGATTTCGACGGCCGGGGCTGAAACTTCTGAATTTATCGGGTTTTTAGGGATTATCGACAGTTAGGGAAAAGCTAGAAAAAAGGAAAACAGATGAATCGCCTTTCGAAAATATACCTGGAGAAAAGACGAATTCTGAGACTACGGTATAGATGACAACCAGAAGGAGGTTATCGATCGACACGCATGCTCCAATTAGTGACGGAATTCCCTAAAAACATAATTTGATGTGTCTCTCCCTCGCTCTCTCTCGCTCTCTCTCTCTCTCGCTTTTTCTGACCTTATCAGTCCCAAGATTCTGATTCTGAAGCTGCAGCAACGATGGAAGTACGACGGCTTGAGACCCGGCTGCCAGGAGCAGGCTGAATTTGATTTCGTGGATTCTCAAACGAGCTACCGTACCCAAAAAGCACAGCAATACTCAGCGGGAAGGCAAAGATGAAGTGGGCGGCCAGGCAAACGGCTGTCGCTTCGATTAGAGGGGCTATACAGCCGAGGGCAAGGAGCACCACCTGGAAGTTGGAGCTTATCGTTTTGCGTTCACATTATCGTCCTTTGAAGACGTAATCAAATAGCTTAGCTAGCTTTAAAGGCTTTTTGGGTTTAAAACAGCTTTCTGAATTTGAGCTCTTAATCGGTTAGGCCAAAACGTATTCGCTTTTGAGCTACGAATGTGGTTAGTAAAGTGCGTACCCCAGGCACATCGCAGAGTCTACTAACCGGTGTCTTCTTCAACGCCTCCAGATCGACACCCAGGCAACATCTGATTAGCACGACCACGAAGGCTAGGCGACGGAGGGTGAAATCCCAAGACTGATGGATGTACAGCCATTCGTTGATGATCGGAATGTTGCGGAGAGCGATGCCGAGAAGGAGGGAGCCTATAAACAACCCGTCTCTCTCACAAACACGCTCTCTCTCCCTCTCTCGCTCTCTATCTCTCTTTCCATCGCTCTCTCTCTCTCGCTCTCACCAAGCATTGGTGGTAGATGAACAAAGTAGAACAACCGCCCGACAAGAAGCCCAAGCGCCACGACGAAGAATAGCGATATTGAAGAGGACACAATTTCTGAGGCGGCATCCACGGTGAAGGTGTGGTTGGTGACGTTGGCTAAAAGGTGACGTTATGGGGTACGGTACGATTTTCTGAAAAACCTTATTTTTAGAAGTCTTGAGACCATACCGAGCGGATGGAAAACATATTGCCCCAAGCAAGTCACGATCGAGAAGTACAGGGCGACGAAGATCAGGACGGACGTCACCAAGATGTTCACCTGATGGAAAATATTGTTACTACCGTAACTACTGTAACAAAACGATCGCTATTTGTAAATTTAGGGAAATGACAAGTTAGGGTGGCGGCGCTTTTCGGCCCGGCTAATGGCACAAAATTAAACATTGCGCGATGTAAAAGCTTGAGCGGCATGACACTATCCCTTTAAAATGGCTGCAAACATAATTTATGAGGGTTGTGCAAGTTACTGTAATTGCCGTAAATGTTCAGCCGTAATTTGTAGCTCAAGGGATTCTGAGAATTTTTCCGATTTTATGATTTTATGACGATTGCCCAATTTTGCTGTATTATTTTATAATATTGTTAAGTCAAAACATAGCTTTTATCGATTTTAAAAAACATTCAGTCTATACGGCTCAATTTGAATGGTTTGTTCGTCAAAATTCAATTTAAAAAGAGTGATGATAGTGGTAAAAGCGCAATCTTCACACTTTCCATGACCTCACCTGACGATGGTTGAAGAAATTGTGGACATGATTCTGCACCTCGCTGCTCCAGTGCTCCATCTTACACCGCTATTTCCGGTAGCTGGAATTAAATTCCCCCGCGGGAAACTGTTTCGAATTGGCGAAAAGTGATGGTGATGCGTCAAAACGGGAGCCAGGAAAAGCCTCGATTCCCTCCAGTCAACCAGATCGTCTATCGGTTGCGGCGAGTACCCCCGGGAATTAGCATCAATTCTGCATAATCCCTCCCCTATTCCAGTGCCTCAGCGTCGATACCTTCATCGGTTTTTACCGTTTTCGACTTTCAGGGGGGTGATGAGTCAGAATCAGAGCATGAGGGGGAACAGAGCATCCTTTTTGAAAACCATCTATAAACCTATATTTTAATAGGAATTTATTCTAAGGTATTGAATAGCGAAATTCCCTCATAATACTTTATTCACCAGCCATGGTCAGGGGCGCGAAATAAAGTACACAAAATATAGTGGCAGCCAGCAGGCGTTGGCGCGGGAGGCGGCTCGTAGCGCGAGGACCGGGCACTCAGCACATGCCGCACATCTTGGGGCAGTAGTACCGCTTCACCTCCGTCGTGTAGAAGGACGACGTGCAGAAGCCGTTCTTTTGCCACGTTACGCAGCTGAAAAAATATTTTTTCAAATTTCAATCCTTTCTGTTTTTAGCTACATTTACATAGTTTTACTGGGGTTTTTGCGTTTTTTCACATTTAAATCCAGTTAATAGGCTAGCAGTTACGATTTTTCACTTACTTTGAGCTATCCATGCATGACGCGCCGGTGTAGCCCCTAGTGGTAGAGCTCGCTAAAATGACGGATTTCCAGGCATAAGCTATTAGAGTTTATGTAACTTGGTGCAATGCGTACTCGAATTGTTGTTACAGTAGCCGCACGTCTTCTTGCAGTTTGTTTTGGCAAACTCCTGGGTGTCCGTGTTGCGGCAGATCGACTTATCGTTGGCGCACTCGACTGCGGCATCGACACAGCCTCCTAGAAGGTAGGTGCTACTGTAAGAGCTAGAGAGAGAGAGAGCGAGAGAGAGAGAGAGAGAGAGAGAGAGAGTGATCAAACTACCGTACCTTCCAAGCAGAATCCGCAGACATTCGGGCAGTCCTCGGCGAGCATTTGCCTCCACAGCACGTCGTTGCATTGTTTCTGGGTGACCGTCTTGCAGTTGACGCGCGGGACTGGAATTGATGCGTTGGAAAAAGAAGGAGAGAGAGAGAGCGCGAGATAGGGGAGAGAGAGAGAGAGAGAGAGAGAGAGAGAGAGAGAGAGAGTCAGCCAATCGCTTACATTCTTTGTTTGTACAAGTAAAAGCAGCCGACAGACAGCAGTATCCGCACGTCTTCGGGCAAGACACGATGGCTCCGGCCTTGACGTCCTCGCTCACCGTACCAGCGGCGTCTTTGAAGCATGCGTTCGGGCTAGAATTCGTTGAATAATAGAGAAAATTTTTGGGTTGGTAATTTGCAATAGTTCTTAGCGCTCTTTAAAAAACTAACCGATCATTGTCGTTGCCGACGGCTGGGGCATCCGTGGCGGCAAACGTGGACGAGCAGTAGACGTCATTTTCGATATTTTCGCAGTTGAACGCCGTTGAGGCGTACTGTAATTAATGAAATTTTTTGTTAGAACCTTTACTGGGTCTTTGAAGCACTAAATCCACCCCCGCCACAACTACACCTCACTATCAAACGATATCAACAGTTCGATATGCTACATTAGGCTACGATACGCTGCTATGCGCTACGTTCCGATACGATACGCTGCGCCACAAGACGAGACGATACATTATCTCCGTGACGCTACGATATGTTCCGATACGATACCCTCGGATACGATTCGATACGATGCTGTGTGTTACGCTAAGGTACGATACTTGCCATTACGGTACGATACGGTACGCTAAGCTATGATAGTGCTAAGAAGTAAGTAAATGCACGTAAGTTAGGATACATTTCCATGGAATACGATACGGTCTGGTACGTTACTAGCCGGAACTTTGAATAAGAATTCCACAAAGTTTGCGATTAAATTAAGTGTATTTATGCTTGAACAACAAAAAGTTTTTCGTAATTTAACATAACTACCTTCGAATCCACAGTGCAATTCAGGTCCGTAATCGCACCAGAAACTCCGGCAATCAACGCGGCCACCACGAAAATTATAGCCGCCATTTCCCGCTGCCAAATTACGATACGATACCATCGCCCAAACCCTCTTTTTATATACCCTCAAAACTTATCGCCAGCTACCCAAATACCCCTGCCGCCGAATTTGCATTGAAACTGGCAAATTTTTCTAGATTTTTGCATTCTGGCTCATGAAAGTTTGGGCTTAGCACGCGCTAGCTTGTGCAAACAAAAAAGTTTTCAAGCCCCGACCCCCGAAATTTCGGGAATTTAGCACGCCTGGAGGGAAGCTATGCAAATATGTCAGTAGCGGGATAGCTGAAAAGTTTTTCACAATTTTTTTATGAAATCCGGTTTAAAACTGTTGACGCTGCACCCGGTAGGGAAAAAATTGTCTAATTTTTTCAAAAAAAGATATCCAAAAAATCGCTTTTCAATGGCTCTAAAATTCTCTTTAAAGCAACAAAAAAAACGAAATAAAACGGCGCAATCGAAAACAATTTAAAAATACTATTATATTTACTTGAAATTTGTTTTTCTCATAGATGTGTAGAAGCGGTTAAAGTTAACAGGAATTAACATAAGTTATTTTTAAAAATTCTGTGTGATAGGGAAAAATTTGAATGATAGGGAAACTTTTTTAATTTGACTGTCAAAAATTTATATAAATCGTTATATTAAGTTATATTATTCTTAACACGAAGACTATGAGATCACAACACATTTTTGGGAATCGACAATTTGGGTAGAGGGGCTAGAAATTGGATAAGAGTTCTAAGACAAGATAAATTCGTAGAATCGGATATGTGAGATTTTTCTCGTTGTTGATTTTCTGATGAGAAATCGTCGAAAAAGATGGAATATACATTTATAACAGAGCAGAAAAGCGAAATGACGTGAAACGTACTCGAAATCTTAGAAAAAGTCAGGAAAAAGCTACTAAAATTTGGAAAATTTACGGGGAAAAACTAACATAAAACTTAGAAAAAGCTAACATCAGGATAGGCCTTCGAAATCTCCATGGTAAACGGATGCGGGGTCATCAGGTTGAACGTCTCGATCGTGCAGAGAGTTTCTCGTTTGAACGCGGCTACTTTCTAGGATGTATTTTTGGTTTTTTTAGCTGGAATTTAACTTAATAAAACTTAAAGATCAACATCAAACTTTTAAAACATAATTGAAACTGCAAAGGAAAAACTTTAAAATCGTACAAATACTTTAAAAGTCTTAAAATCCTTAAAATCCCGTCTAACAGGCTCAAGGGTACTTTGAAATCCCAAAAATAAAGTCATAAACTTCAAAATATACTCTAAAATTATAAAAATAAACTTTAAAAGCTTGAAATGCACTTTATAAGCATAAAAACATACTTTAACTGTTTATAACCCTTATTTCATTGCCTACCTGTACATTCGAGATCCGCAACAACACCTCAGCAAATCGCTTGGCGCTCTCCACCGGATCGCTGCACTTCGTGTCGAGGTGCCGCCGTAGTGAGTGGAGAAGCCGCTTCCGTTTGGCGGATATCAGCTGGTGTGCTTGCTCGGAGAGGCTCAGGCATTCTGAAAATTCCCGCTTTGATAGAAATGATGCTATCTAGTAATTTACACAAATTTAAGGCGCTGTACACTCTCTATAAATTAAATAATGAATTTCGAGACTAAAACATACCAGGATCATAGAAAATGATCGCCTGCAAGAGTAGATATTCCGTTTTTGTCATCTTCATCCGGCGAATCGGGACTAGAATGTTGTTGATGACAGCAACGACGGTAGGGACGAGTCCGGAACGTTCCTTCAGTACGCAGGAGGTCAAGTTACGATACCTAAATCATAAAAAGTTGTTTGTTACGACTTTTGGGTATAAAAAACTGAAACTAGACGTTTTTTGCGTAATTTACAGGTCAGGCAAGCTTGCTCTCTCCATTAAACGCCTATTTACACCCACCCGCTCAGCCCGTCCGGAAAAACGATCCTGTCCGTGTATTTCTCTGGCGTATGAAACGCCTCGGCCAAGACAAGGTTGGAAAAGATGGTGTGCACGACAAGGCGCATCTGATCGTCCAGACAGAGTTTGCTGAATACCTGAAAAAGCAAGGCTTTCTGTATTTTTTAAGAAAATACAGTGATGGAGTATTTATGCACCAAATTACGGTAAATTACGTCGTAAAAAAATAACGAACCTCAAACGACTTTGCCCATTCCACCAACACCGACAGGATTTTCGCGCGCCAGAACGAGAAATTTCGCTGCTCGCCGACGGGTAGAGGGTGTGATGTGTACTGAAACGTAGTTTTGCCATTTTTATAATACAGGTTTTGTAGATATATTTTAATCTTAGTGACAAAACTCACCAATGACAGCGGCTGATCAAAAGCCTTCGGGCTGATTAGCGCATCTTTTAGCGAGGAATGCAGTGGGGAGACCGTGGAAGTGAGCAGTGCCTCGTAGCAAGACTCCTTTTTGTGGAGGAGATCGATTAGGGGGTCGCAGACTAAAAAAAAGTAATTTTACAAAGTTTTTTACCAATTCAAACTAATTTAAAATGTTGAAAAGGCTTGTTGCAATAGGAAACGTCTTAAAACACCCACTAAAATTGTTCTCCTCGTACTCGTTGTCAGACACACCGGGATCACGAGCTTTTCTTTTCCGGCGACGCTCAATGTTGAGTTCTAAAATTTAATTCAATACTTTCCAGATACAAATCTATGTTCAATATAGTAGAATGTATTTCAATCCTTTTAATTCAGCTTTTTCGACAAACCTGATCGATCCATGCCGACGCGCAAGCATTTCTTGAAACGACAATGCCGACACGAACACCGCATACTTTTGTCGATCACGCAGTCGCCCTTGTTTTTGCAGGAATACGTGCGGTTCTGAAATGTAGATCTGTTTTAAGCTCCTCGTAGCAATTTTTCCATTAAAATTTGCTTTATAATGTTTTTAACGTACCTCAATAACCACTCTCCTAAAGAACGTCTTGCACCCATTACAGCTCGAAACGCCGTAGTGGATGCCGGAGGCGGTGTCACCGCAAACAACGCATGGTTCCCCTAAAAATTGGATTATTTTTTGGGTTAAAGTAGCTAATACATCTGTTAAAGTATCTAGCAACTTCTACAAACCTGGCACGAATTTCCGGAGCGCCTCCTGGCGAAGACGTGCGCGTTCGGCCGCTCCAAGACTCCTGAAAAAGCATTTTTAAACTTCTTGCCTATTATTTGGCCGGTTTTGGAGTTAAACTTTCAAATCTCGCTAGTTTTATACGATAAAAACCTACCTCAAATGAGGCTGTATATCGTCGTCGTCGTCGGCCAGCGTTACGGTTGGGATTTTGCTAAAAATTAATATATTTAGATTTTCAAACTATTAAACTGCTGCTAGAGCCTTTTTTTAACCTAGCTATACTAAACGCCCCGGCCCTGCTTACATTCCATCGGGAAGTGGTGAGAACGGGGCGCAAAACTGAGCGGCTGGCGCAAAGAACATAACTTGTCTTGTATTCTTAAAAGCTTGGGGGCCTCTAGCGCCCCCGGCCAGCGCCCCAACAATCCGGATTTCCGGGCTGGGATTATCGTTTTAGGGGTGGAGATGATTTTGACTTACCTCATAACAGACCGGCCGGCAAAGTAATGTAACGCGACGTAATCCGCTCTTCTGAGAAATGGGATGGGCCGACACCTCGTGAACTGGGGGCAAAATGTCGTGCCGGGACCCGCGGGGTTTTCATGGCGTGATGCATCATTCTATAAAGTTTTTGATCGCGTTTTGATGGATTATAGCGTGAATTAAATAGAAACCCATCTGCTTAGTACTCGCGTAAAAAATTTAGCCATACAGGAAGTTAAAATCTATCTAAAAACTTCACACATTAGGCGAAAAAGCGTATTTTTAGTTTACAAATTTATATTTGTTGTTTTATAGAAAAAGTGACGATACTTTTATTGGAAAAATCATCTAAAAACTTAGCAAAAACTAAAAAAATTTTAAATGTTACTGAAAATCACCCAATTTTGGCTCCAAAATCGATTTTACTTACTATTACATTACTCTTACTAAAAAAATTTGTAAAGTCTATATGTGTAGGAATCATAGCAGAGTAATGGTCCCCCTCCGATAATCCAAATGCACCAAATTTTAGTCTGTATTTAAAATAGACACTGGTTTCCCCAAAATAAAATTCATTTATTAGCCATCACCAAATCATTAATAACATTATACCAATCCAATCGCATCTTCTTCGCGGAGATATTGGCCAGTTGCAAGTCGTCGGATGGGCACTTCAAAAAAAAGTCAAGAAAAGTCTCGTGAAAGTACCTGTAAAATCTGCCGGGCATATTCTATCAAAAATATGCCGCAATCGCTGGAATTTTGCTGCTGCGGGGCGCGGGCGTTGATAAAAGTGGCTTCTCCGGCGTTTAATAAGCTTGACATCTTTGTGGCTACCTAAAAATACGATTTTTGGAATACAAGACTATTATACTTCTTTGGCCACGGTCGCACTTTGCCCGGAAATGCTGTCGAAATAGCTGAACGTGTAGCCGGGGCGGTCGTAGACCAGCAACGACCTAAATAAATTTTATGAAGGATTGAGAAAGCCATCGTAAAGGTTTTGAAGGGTAAAAATCTTCAAAAACTCGGGGTTTTTAGCCGCTCAAAATTAAATCCCACCAATGGCTGCCCGCGTTCACCACGTTTGGCCGGCTGTTGTTGTTCAGGGCAAAGAGGACCTAAAGAGTCACTAATTACACGTATTTTTGCATATTTTTCGTACCAGCTGCTTCTCCTCTAGCCGCAACGGCCCGAAGACGTCGCCCAGCGAGTCGGCGGGGAGAAACTTGATCATCTCGCACTCTGGGGCGTACATCACGGCGATCTAAGCTTTATTTTGATGCTAAATAAAAGCCAAGTACTTGTGCCTTCCGCTCGGCGCTCAACTGCTCGACAAGGTGCTGGATGGCGAACGTGATCAGCCGGTCGTTGAGCCAGTTGCCGGGTCTAAAAATGAGAATAATACCGAAATCGAATCACTAAAGGGCTTCGTCAAGGCCTAGAATCAAATAAAAATCAACAAGGCAGACTAGCCGGAGCCATTTAGGAATTGGCTTTTAAAAAACTGCATTAAGCCAAAAAAACCTTGCCTCAAAAGCTCCAAGTCCTCCTCGTACAACACGACCTCGCCGACGGAGAGGATTCGCTTGCTCATCGTTTCTATAGAAATTATATTATTTAATAAACCTTGAGTAACACGAATAAATAACAGATTTAGGTACATTCGCATTATCGGGGGGGGGGGGGATTTGTCGCGGGTAAAAGCAATTTTTTTTTCTTGAAGTCCAGAAATGTCGTAACGTAATTGTAGTGTCTTAATAGTTTGAAAAATTAATTTAACAATATTAAGCGAATGAATAAAAAATTAAAAACATTTTTGTATGAAATTTCGCCCGAAGAATCGTGATTTTTTTCATATTGCTTTACTCAAAATTTGTAGAGTTTTTACGTTAAGGTGTACTAAAGTACCGTTTAGAAACACTTCCTTTATGATTAGAAAAACTGGATCCTTAGAAAAAGTTGGTCCCCCCGATAATGCACAAGAGCCAAAATTTCATTTGATCGAAAGATCTTGGGTACTAATTTACGTTCAAAACACAACCAGCATAAATCAGACAGATAACCGGATCAAGCATTTATTCAAGCCAAAAAAAGCACAACCCAAAATTTCAATCCATAATCCATTGTCTCCCGTGAGAATCCGCTTCGAGCTGCGTCGTGTCCACTGTCCACGGCTCATCCTCCAGCTTGTACCGGCAGATCGGGTAGTCGTACGGCAATTCACAGCGGGATTTGTCCTAAAAAAATCATGAAATTCCATCAAAAATTGAGATAATACATACCTGTATCAAAACGCCGGCTTCATAGCTGCGGACACAAAGTTGCTGCCCGCCTTTCTGAATCTCGCCCCAGGCAGCTTTTGAGAGGTTTGCTGACGTGAGAACCATCCACTTGAGCTCGCGATCTTCTCCGATTTCGCAGTAGGTCTGAAAAGTATATGTAAGAAATAACCGTGCTTTTGCATTATTCGGGGGGGGGGGGGGGCGAATTTTTCCTACAAGTAAAAAATGCCTACTAAACTAATAACAAACATTTTTTAGTAGTTAACTATATTAAAAGTACAAAAACCATCTAAAAACTCATAGAAAGATTTATGGCAACTATCTAAAAACTTGGACAAAATTAAAAATCCGACAAATTTGTCAAAATCGGTCCTTTTTAGCCGAAAAATGCAAAGTTCTTCTATTTTTTATTAAAATTTGCAACCTGCTGACTTTTAGCAATAATTACAAAGAGTTTAGTCACACTTTTTATCGTTTTTTTTTTAATTCTGTATTACCTTAACATGCGGCATTGCTTGGGATCGACCTCGGTTTTCTGAGAACCACTTGCAAAGCGCAGTCCTGAAATACTAATAAAAGGTAGTTACAGTAACCCATACCTAAGCCAGGGTTGCTTCTGATGAGTGCCAGATTGATAGGGTAAAGAACCGCCGGCACTCCAGCCCTCATACGATTCTTGAACATTTTTGACAGTGGGGTAGACGAGGAAAAGCCTGGTTGAGCCTGAACTATCAATCTTCTACTGTCTCGAAAAATTACTACCTGTACTCCTGCCTCCCCGTAACGTTATCAAAAATTGAGAAAGCATCCACTGGTCCGGCTTACTTCCGAGAGACCCTAAAATTTGATGTCGTATGAATGAAAAATTTGGGTTCTTTCGCAACATCGCGGGGACGAACGTTTTTCCTATAAGTGTAAACAAAACCTTTCCAACTTTTAATAAAAAGCTACAAGGTTTTTAGGTATAATAAAAAAAAGTAGAAAACACTTCTATAATTCATATTCGAAAACTGAACAGTTACAAAAAAATACCCCCCCTCGATAATGCGAAGGACCCAAAATTTGACCCACCTATTGAACTGCATTGCGCGATGTAGAGGGCGCCGGGATCTGGCTTCCGCGTTTTTAGGGCTTTTCGCAGTGCCAATTGAGCGATCTGAAAAATAAGTAATTAAAAATCTCTTTGAAATTTTGCCTTTTCCTGATCATCTGCCTTATGATACCCGGGTACCGAGTAGATGAAGTGGTCGCCATTTTCCACAAGTGTAGTGGATTTTAGTTTCTCGATCCACGCATCGACGCTGGGTAATTTGTACCTGAAATTTTGCAATATTTTTTGATTTCCTGCGAAATTTTACCTGGCTAAATAATCCAAAAGCTCGGTTTGGAAGACCGTATGCGAGGTAGAGGCCGTCGATTGCAATTCCCCAGTGCAGTAGTAAAAGGCCTGCGTCTTTTCGCGCCAATCACCTAAAAAAATATCGAAAAAAGTTTCAAATTTTTTAATTTACCTTCGACCAAATTCGCTGTCGAGACGACAATGTGAAGCCGACGGTCCGCTGATTCGAAAAGGGACAATTTGGTGTGGTGGGTGCCGTAGGGAATTGGCAGTTTGGCGGTAAAGACCTAGAAATCTTTTATAAACATTAGAAGATCTACAACCTCAACATTTGTGCTGCCGAGAGCTTTACTTGTCCTTTCTATATCAGTTTTGGACGTGCCCATCTTCTCGCCGACCACCAGGGAAATGGGAGTTGTGCGCAATTCTGCCGGGTATTGTCTAGAAAAGAGAATTATCATAGCTTGCGTCTTTTTTGACACTAAAAACATATAAAGTCACTCTAAGCTACCTCAAAACCCAATCCAGATCGATCATAAAGTTGAAATGAAGCGACGACGTTGGCCTGATGCTTGCTAGCAAATCGGCTAGCGAGAAGCAGTTCTCGTTGAAGCAATCAAGGGCCGAGTGGACCTAATTTTTCCATAAAATTCGGTTTCAAGGAGTTTAACCTTTGTATAATAGATGTGCCCATGGCGTAGCGCGCTCGTCGCGGATGTAGAAATCTACACAAAATTCGATTTTCCTAAATGCGCGTTTCAAACCTGATTCTCGACTTTCAGCTTCTTCGAAACAACTGGCTGAACTGGTAGTAAAGCCGCAGAAGTTGACTCTGACAGACCGGAAGCTTCATCTATCTCCCGTTTTCTAGCTCTTCCGGACATTTCTGAAGCTGATTGACCTCGGAGCGCGACTTTTCAAAAGTCCAAGAATAGTTATCTTCAATGTAGCTACCAATAAAAAAGCTCCAAAGCTCCAAGTGTAAAATTTATTCAGTTTTAAACGTAACAAAACACACAACAGGGCATCGAAAAAACAAAAACAAACAGAACTCCAGCTTCAATTTGGTCCTTTTTAGCCGGCCATATCACGCTTCCGGCCGCGTAGGCGAACCTCTTCCAACTTCTTGTAAACAGCTTCTCCTTGCTTCGCGTCAAATTTCTTGTATCTAAAGAACAGGATTAATTTTTATGAAGTAAAGTACCCCTCGATGATCAACTGCATCAGGTGGTCGCAATTTATATGGGACGCCTGGATGGCCCGCTCGAGCACGTACAGGTCAACAGCCTTGTCTTCGGGGCTCACCTAGCAAAAATATATTAAATCCGAAATTATAACCTACTTTTCCTAATGAAGATAGCCCGAAATCGATGAAATATATTTGTGAAGCATCGCCGTCTTTTAGAAGCACATTTGACGTTGTTAGATCTCCGTGAATCTAAAAAACTACTTTTAAAACTTGGTACAATTCGGATAAGCGGGGGGGAAAAATTTAGGCGGGGGGGAAACCGAACTTTTTTCCGCCCAAGCCTATATTTTTTTATATAAATAGTGGAAGTGTTTCTAAATTGTTTATAGCTATTCCTAAACATAAAAACTTTACAAAATTTAATTAAAAAACTTAATTTTAGGTCGAAAAATCAATTTTTTCGGCCCAAAAATGACCAAATTTTCGACTTTTTCAAGCGTTTTTCTAACTTTTAAAAAAGTTTTTCCGATTCAAATAGGCTTAAATTTTGCTAAAAACAATGTGAAAACACTTTATATTTGATTACTATCCCCACCAGGGCCGAAAAAAAAAATTTGGTTTCCCCCCCGCCTAAAATTTTGCCCCCCCGCTTATCCGAATTGTACCTAAAACTTTAAAAACTCGTACCAATCCAGCATGATGCATCTTCGCAATATCCGTTCCTAGATCCTTGGCGAATTGTGATGTTATTTTCTAAAAAAGATTGAGGAATTAGCTAAGGAAGCTAGAAAAATACCAAGAAGTTTTCTGCGTCTTTTCGTCGCCTTTCCTCAACCCATTCATTCGATGAGGGCCCTGGTATTCGCTGTATGATGACACCGAACGCATCCCGATCGACAAAGTAGACGGCTGGGCTGTTGACGCCGATCTAAAAATGTCAAAATAAAATAAAATAAAATAAAACCTCGGCTGCTTTGCGCAGACCGCGTAGTTCAGCGCGAAACCGTTGTGATCGAAGACGTTGATCGAGAATTGGATGCCGGAATTTTTTCTCTAGCCTGAAAAGTATGTTATTTTCAGACAAACATTCCTATTACCTCTCCTTGATCACCGCCGGTCTGCCGAGGTACAAACAGTCGAAGATCTTCGCCTCGGCCCCTTGTCGGAGTGATGCCGTTTCCAAGTCGTAGAGGTTGTCGGTTTTCATCACTAAAAAGTGTTTTTATGTTGATTTTTGAACAACTTTTCCGAGTTTCAGAAATTTTTGTTTTCATAAAATTTACCGTGGCAAATTTATTGGCAAACACGCAATTTGTCGAATTGTGCTTAGCAATGGCGCGTAGCTAACCCCGAAAAGGTTACAGAAAAAGCATAGTTAGCAAGGCTACAGTTTTCTAAGCTTTTGGACTTGAAATGTCTAAAGAAGAGGCTTGAAACGTGATTTAGACGGTAGACAAGCTTCATCTTTACCAGTTTTTAGCTTTTCTGGCCCGTGCAATATCCCTTTCCTAGGAACAAGCTCAATTTGGTTCGCCGGTTCGCTCGCTTCCGGTCCTCAAGCTACCTTTGGAAATGAAGTCCAAGCTTTTCTCGGTAATCATGACAATGACAATAATCACGCGTTTGAAAACGTTACGTGTAAGGGTTGACTGCATGGCGCCAGAGTCTGAGTAACCCCGACCAGTCTCTTTAGAAATTTTCTGGATCACCGCTGGGTCAAATAATGTAGTACAATTCATAAAAGGCGGTATTCACGGTATTACAGTGAAATCGCGTCATCTTGCAGTTCCCGAGAAGAAATCTTTTGCCGCACGCTTTCAATGGACCCGAAAATTTGAATGGTACTTATTTGACTGAGTGGGCGGGTGCCCTCTAAATTTATTCCCCACTCATTCTCCTCCATCCCCGCTCAAATGCTCAGCCTCCTCATTTTGCTATCCCAACTTCTCAACGCCGTTTTCGGCCTAGAGATCGTCTACAATCCGGGCGAGCCGGGAGTGGCGGTGGGTTAGAGTTAGAGTTCGGGTATTTCACAGTTAAGAGTGTGTAACTACTCTGCATTGCTTGTTATCTCGCTTTTTGTATAGTCGGAGTGACCACGCGGAAGGGGAATTCACACAATGGACCCTTGGCCCTTTGAAAAATGGCTGCCGCGGCTTATCCTATCTGAATTTGATAAGACTCGGGTGTCGAGTCAAAAACCGGCCATTTGGCCTGGAAGCCAGCTTTCTATGGGGCTATTTTCGGCGGTATAGTGGTTACTAGATAACGACCGTTACTAGTGGTTAGCGACTTTTAACTTTTTATCGTCTTTTCGGCACTGGACTGTTAGCAGGGGCGCACTAATTGTTGTTTTTCCGTCTATACTCACCTGTTTGGAATAAAAGTGTATTTTACAATGTTTTTCGTCGTTTTTATTGCTAGAAAGTTACAAAAACTTTGTGGAAATTCGGAAATTTTGTCCTTTTTTGGGGAGGATGACAAAAGCGCCAAAGCAAAAGCGCCAACGACAAAAGCGCCCATGCAGAAGCGCCAAACGAAAAGCGCCCAATGCCAGAAAGCGCCCAATGCCAGAAAGCGCTCTATGGGGAAAGCCAACGTATGGAGAGAGGAAACAATTACATAAAATGGCTTTTTTTCAAGCTTTGTATGCCTTTTAAACGTTGTTTAGCGATAGGTAGGCTTTGTAGACGGCAAATTATCACCCCGAGCGGGTTGTTTTGGCCTTATTGGGTCTTTTTGGCTTGAATTGCCGTGTTTCAGTCTCTAGTTTTACCGGGTTTGCCTCATGTTCTCACGATTTCTGATGTTTTCAGTCACAATACTGTTGCAATCACGAAATACTTGTTATAAAACAGTGTTTGGAGGCCAGAACGACGAGAAAAACGCCGTATTTCCGGGTAATGGATCCGAAAATGGCACTAAACAACCTTTCCACGGCGAGTTTATACCTTTCTCACATTAGAAATGCATTTTAGGACCGGTTCCAGCATGTAGAGATCAAGAAACTACTTCAAAAATAGTGGAAAAGCTGCTTTAGAAGAGAACTAGCTATTCGAGTGAAAGAATGCCCTAGGAGGCGAAAATAACTTGACCCCGTCGGTAATTTATGGCCTAGTAGGTCGAACTGCCGCTAAACTACCATAATAACACCAGAAAACCTATTAAAACAGCTATTTTATCTCTACTTTATGTAATTGTTTCCTCTCTCCATACGTTGGCTTTCCCCATAGAGCGCTTTCTGGCATTGGGCGCTTTCTGGCATTGGGCGCTTTTCGTTTGGCGCTTCTGCATGGGCGCTTTTGTCGTTGGCGCTTTTGCTTTGGCGCTTTTGTCATCCTCCCCTTTTTTGGTCATTTTCATACACCTTTGACCAAAAATTCGAAAATTTTGAGCCGTTGTATGAGCTTTTTAGCTTTTATATTCTGTTTATCTAAAAACGGCGTGAAATGCTATAGAAATGGTTTATTTTTTATAGGACCGTGCCGGTCTACTGAGAATAATTAGTTTCCCCCCCTGTTAACAGTCCAGTGCTGCGGTTTTATTAGCCATGTAATATCCATGTTTTCTAGCATTTATTTTCCGTCTGTGAGACTCTTTAATCCGTTTTTTTTCAGATGAGCAACCCGGTGTTGCTGCAGAAGCTGCGGGCGCTCTTCAAAAGCGATTCGCTGATCAAGGGCGGCCCCATCCAGGCATATCTCCTCCCCTCGACGGATGCCCACCAGAGCGAGTACTTGGCACCGCACGACTTTCGGGTATTTTTTACGTACCTTAAAACCTAAATCCATATTAGGTAAAATTCCTGTCCAACTTCTCCGGCTCGAACGCTTACGTCGCCGTGACTGAGAAGGAGGCCCTTCTTTGGACTGATGGCCGATATTTTGTACAGGTAAGAAATGCCTGATTTTCAAAAAGATGTTGCCCATTTTTAGGCGAACAAGCAGCTGAGCTCGGACTGGAAGCTGATGAAGCAGGCGCAGCCCGACTCGATCACCACCGAGGACTGGATCGTCCAGAACTTCAACGCCGGCGACCGCATCGGCTTCGACCCGAGCCTTCATCGGTATACTTTATTGAGTTTGACCTAAGTTCTGTGTAGATATGAAGCCGCCGCATCGATGATCGAGAAGTTTGCGCAGAACAAAATCACCGCCGTGCCCATCGAGCAGAACCTCGTCGATCAATTCTGGGACAGCCGGCCGCCAGCGTCGGATAAGAAGGTACAGTTTTTTTTCTGGATTACCAAAGTAGTTTTTATGCTTTTCAGTAACTAAATTCTGCTAAAATGCGCTAAAAATTTTTCACCACACTTTTGTCTCCCTCCGCTAATAATGCAATAACCAAATGCTATCAAAAACGTGTGATTTTTAGGTGATCGCGCTGAACGAGACGGAACACGGCCGCCCCACCACCGACAAACTCCGCGAGCTGCGCGAAACGTTGCGGAAAAGAAAAGCGCAAGCCATCGTCCTCTCTGAGCTCGACGACGTCGTCTGGCTGTTCAATATCCGCGGCGCCGACATCCCCTACAACCCGCTCGTCTACTCGGTGGCGTTCATCACGATGGACCAGGTAAAGCTGAAAAGACGGCTCGTGAAATTGAACTGTGTGCTAGGTCCACCTCTTCATCGACCCGAAGAAGACCGACGACGCGGTGACGGCTCATCTGAAGGAGGCCGGCACCGAGCTGCACCCGTATGAAGCCGCGACAGAATACCTACGCTCATGGCACGAACAGCACCAGGGAGATGTTGGATATAAGGTTATTTTTGGCACGCAAATTCGTTTTATCGTTTTTTAGGTATTCATCCCGTCCTCAACAAACTACGCACTCGGCTCGCTGTTCGGCGGCAAGCAGAACGTCACCCTCGGCACATCACCCGTCCAGATTACGAAGGCGGTGAAGAACAAGGTCGAGCTGGAAGGGATGCGAAATGCCCATATTCGGTAAAATTGGATTTTTCTCTGAAATTTCCAATCGTGATTTTAGCGACAGCGCAGCGCTCATCGAATTCCTGTTCTGGCTGGAGGGCGAGATGAAGGCGGACAGTAAGATCAACGAGCTGGAGGCGGGAAAGAAGGTTCTGATTTTTTAATTGACATTTTACCTTTATTTTCTAGGTCGATCACCTGCGCTCGCTGCAGCCCGGCTTCGTCGACCTGAGCTTCGACACAATCTCGGCTTCCGGTGAACACGCTGCTCTCCCCCACTACAAGGCTGATGAGGAATCCGGGAAGCAGGCTTTGGACCGGCAGCACGTGTACCTCGTCGACTCGGGCGGCCACTACAGGTTTGTTTTTTAGAAGTAGATCAATTTGGGGCTGGAATGTTAGCAGGGGGACTCTGCTGGTTCCCAGTAATCCTTTACATATTTGACCCGACAATTTTGAAACCGCTTATCCTATCCTATAAGCGAGAAAAGTATGTGTGTTTTCTGTGCAGCCGATTTCTCGGCCGTCAGGCCGAATTTCCGGCTGATTTTTGGCATGGAGGTGGAGAAACACATTTGCCAGACACGCATTTTTTTGTTTTCCGAAATTCCTTGATTTAACAATTTTGCAAACAAAATGGTGAAAATCCTTAACAAAATCGGCGACGAGCCGTGGTGTTCGGGGCATAACTCAATGCCCAGATGGAATTTCGGGCTGAAATTTGGACCACTTATGTATTCGATAGTGGGGATCACGCGCATCTTATTATTTTTGCAAATTTTTGGAGCATTCGGTCTAAAATAGCGATTTTTGTAAAGTCACCAGAAGTCTTCCCTGCCGGGTTGAACCCTGGCCCCAGGACAGAAGGGACCTTTCCCGCCACCCGTCCCCATGCCCTCTTTGGTATAGTGGTTTGGCGCGCGCGCTACCGTGCGAATGGACGGTGGTTCGGATCCTCGGCGCATGTACCCTTTTGCTTTTTGATAGTTCAACAACAAAACATCTTTCGAGGCTCTCGGTATCCGAAATTTAGGCCAGTCCCTCGCTCTAGCGCCGCAGGCCAAAGAAAAGATCCTTGGCCCGGGCTCTAGCGCCGCAGGCCAAATGCTGGAGAAAAATCAGTAGCTAGCGCCGCAGGCCAGAGAATGGTTCCTAGAGACAGGCTCTTGCGCCGCAGGCTTTCAAAAACGGAAGGGGAATATATGATTCCTAGACGGGGCCAGTGGAAAAGAGCCGCGAAGCGGTCTTTTTCCACTGGTTCAATAATATGAATAAAGTATACAAGATATATATAGATAATTTTTTATACCGTTTTACACAGTTTTGGATGGCAAGATATCATAAAAAACGTATAAAAATTGCGAAGTTGTTTTAATTGTTGTGCAAAAAGCGATGAAATTTTCATCATGTAAAATGACCAAAAGGTAAAAAATATTCCAATTTTCCGAACATTTTTAAAGGGATGCCGACGACATAGTCAATCGGTTACGCGCTGGAAAGAAAATGTCTCTGCGCCTCTCCCCAGGGCGCGCTCTCTGCCCTGCTGGCTACTTGCCAATTTGTTGATGGGGGGATCGACACATGCCGTCGGCAGCCCTTTAAATTTTTTTTGAACTTTCTTGCAATCAAAAGCCACTAAAAATAAAAATAAATTATTAACAGGCGGAAAAGCCAAAGTTGCCTTGCCCCTGCTAACAGTCCAGTACCATGTTTTGTTATCTGCTCCTGAGTATTTGATTTTTTTTTCTAGGGACGGCACCACCGATGTCACTCGCACAGTTTGGTACGGCTCCGAGGTACCCGCCGAGTTCAAGACGCACAACACCCTCGTCCTGATCGGCCACATCGACAACGCGGCCGTCAATTTCCCGGAGGGAATTCTTGGTGCGATTTTTCGGGGGCTTCATGTACTTTCTTCTTCTTTAGGTATCCGCCTGGACACGCTGGCACGTGCCGCCCTCTGGGAGAAGGGCCTCGATTTTGGGCACGGAACCGGCCACGGTGTCGGTCACTTCCTCAACGTGCACGAGGGCCCGATCGGCATCTCCTACCGCACGTCAAACCAGGATGGCCAGCTGAAAGCGGGACAGGTGAATTTCTGAAAGCTTATCCCGATTTTCAAAAACGTCTTACGGAATTGTTTAGGAAACAGAAACCCTCGGCCTTGTAATCAAAAATTAGAAAAAAGTTGTAGGCAAAATTTTGGTCGAAAATCCGCCATTTTTTGTTTGAAAGCTCGATCTTTTTTTTTGTATTTAGAAGAAAAATTTCTACATGTAGGTAACGTGCAACCTGTTTAGAAACATTTCCCAGAGAACCTAAATTTTAATTTCCTGCTTCAGATTCTGACCATCGAACCCGGCTACTACCTTCCCGGCAAGTACGGCATCCGCATCGAGAACTGCTACGAGCTGATCAAGGCGCCGCAGGAAGGGTTCCTCGAGTTCAAGGCGCTCACTCTCGCCCCCATTCAGGTTCGTTTCTGCCTCGAATCTGGTTCTTATCTTTCGTTTTCCGGATTTTTTAAGCTTTTTTTATTGATAAATCTCCTTTAGAAAGCGATCATCGACATCCCGCTGCTGCAGCAAAAGCACAAGGATTGGCTGAACGCGTACCACGCCCGTGTGCTCGACGTCGTCGGCCCGTACCTCGAGAAGACCGGCAAGCGCAACGAGCTCGAATGGCTGAAGGAGCAGTGCACACCGCTGTAAAAATACACGCTAACCCATGCATGGTTTACCCAAATTTCCCCCGCTCTCAATTCGTTGCATCATTTCCCCTCCCGGCGACCCACACCCGATGCCATACGTTTTGCACCCCCTCGTCTGTGACACTAGCCCGAATCTGTGACCGATTGTGATTTTCGTCTTTTCCCCCTCGGTATCTCTATCTTTGTTTCCCAATAAACATTTTGCTCATACTTGTGTCTCCCGCGCTAACTACTTTGACAAATTTTTTGGTCCTCTCCCGGTTTTCTAAATTTTTGGGTTTCGTACTGGTTTGTGGTAATAAATATCGAAACATCAGATGAGAGAGCGCAGATTTTTTGATTAGTTGAATTCAGTTTTTATACTTTTAGACTTCATTACTGCGAGCGAAGGTTCACGAGTAGCCGCAAAATTTCAGCCACATGTCGGCTAGCAGGTTGCTAGCTCGTGGATTTTTGCTGGGCGCTGTCACGCAACGGGGATACAGGTTAGACGAGTTATTCGTGGTTCAGCGCGCCTATTTAAAACATTTTGTAAAAAGTTCTGATTCGTTGGCGGGGCTTCATTGAAAAGTTAGGCGAATTTGCAATATTTCTCTTTTTATCGGAACTGTTTTCAACAGAATCCGATAGAGCATCAAAAATATACTTTTAAGAGTTTTCTAAACGAAGCTATCGACAAAAATCTCCCCCCCCCCGCTAACGTACCAGAACCCGTTGTAAGGTTCCCTGGCCTTTGAAAGACGACTTCTGGCCGTCCAAAGCTTTCCCAAAAGTTCGCACAAACCACCGCATCGAGCGATGCTCTTGCAGGCACTGATGATGCAAGGGCGGGGGCTGAAAGCGGCTGCTCGAACTTTTGGGATCAACGAGATCAAAAAAAGCCTATTTGCCTTGACCCCGGACTGTGGTCAGTATTTTGTGACAACAAATCATCATCAGAACATCGTCCGCCCCATCCCGGATCCCACCCCCTATTTTTTGTGATGGCGCCATCGGGGTCCTTTCGTTGACAACAACCGCCGGGCGGAAGACACGGCTCGGGCTTTTTGGGGGAGGCGATGGAGCAGTGCATGTGTTCTCTTTCTTTCTTTCTCTCTTTCTCTATCCACTCAATGCACAAACTATAAGGTACACGAATGTCAGGCCCTATTGGGCCCACAAACACTTCGCTCTGGCTAGGGCCATCCTACTAGAGTATGCTGTTATCATAGAGCTGCGCGAATGGGCTCAAGTTTTTTTGGGTTGTTTTTTAAATGGGGTCTCTGTCTTTGTCGTTTTTGGAGATTGTAGCAAGTAGCTAGTAGAGTCTGGAGGCATTAATGGCTTGAATATAACGAAAAATTGAGGAGTTCTCGGCCCTTTACCCTTACATTAATGTAGAAGGCTTTACAAGCTTTGCTTAAGCTTTTAGCTTTGTTTTATGCCACTGATTGTTGAGACAAGCGGTACTTTTTAATATTTTTTACAATGGAAATTCTAGAAAAACGCACGGGACACGATAAATTTAGAAAATAGTTTTCCACTAGCTTGATTGGCTTTCTCTACTTATTTTAAAAGCCCAGAAACTTCGATTTAATTTATTTTGCATACATTTTTAGAGATTTTTAGTTGTTTTTTTTTACTTTAAAGGGGTCGATTTTCTTTGAATTGTGACGGATTTTTATGCGTTTTAGGTCATGATAATTTTTCTTTTTAAAAGAATTATTTAGTTTTTAGCTGTGCCTAGACTCATGAATTTTGTTTGGGGTTTTATACATCCTTATGATTTTTAGATCAGGATAATTTTTTTGAAAGAATTAGATGGCTTTTTAGATGTGGCTTTTTGATAGTCGATTTTGCTTGCGTTTTTTGGACCTTTTTGCGCTTTTTGGATTAGGCTACTTTGCTTGTTCTATCAGGCATACCGCTTTTAAAAACTTGATTTCTTGGACCCTATTCACTTCCAGATTGCCCCATTATCATTTGAGTGCAAGCGGCCCCTCCTCATTCTTTTGTTCGTTTGATTTTGCTTGTTGATCTTGGCTGATCTTTCTGTGGCCCCAGAAATGTTTTTTGATGTCATGACGTCACGGGCACCCTTATGACCTAGTAAGGTGAACCTGGGCCCCGCTGTCAGATTTTGGCACAACTTTTTTTGGCCGACCAACCCTTTTGATGGCTTCTTTTGACGTTTAGTCTCTTTGAAAGATTATGAAGATTAGAGGGGGGGGAGGCTGAATTTGACTAATCCCTCCTTTCAGCCCCATGACTGGCCCAAAATTTGCTCGGGGAGACACCGGAGATTTCCGGCACTGGCTGGCCCAGGCGCGTTTCGGTGGCCTGGAGCGCTGAGAAAATCAATGTTTTCATGGGATTGTTGTTAGAGGGTTTATTTTATTCTATAATTGGTTTAATTTTGCATTTTTAGCATATTTTTATCCTTGGGAAGTCAATTTTTCAAATAGCTTTTTCACGGAATTTAGGTTACAGAGTTAGTGTACTTTTGTCAGCTTTTTGCGTTTTTTGGTGTATTTCTTAGCCTGGAAAATCTATTTTTCTTGGGTTTTTTGCTCGATATATTTGGACTTTTTTCTAATAAATCCGTAGAAAAAAGTCGGTCCCCCGATACTGTGGAGGAACCTAATTATCGATTCTACCTCCAAAAAGGAATTTATCGATAGCCCTTGCCATTAATTACTTCCGGTCTTGCCCTTGTTTCGGCGTTAGGTTTCTTCTTCTTCTCCCCATATCCGGCCTATTGTCCTTTTGTTGGTCACGCGCATTGCCCCCGGGCCGACCGAAAGCAGATTCTTGTTTGTGTTTTTGTGACAATGAATGAGAACGTTTCCTGGGCGGCCGATTTTCCCAAGCCATCCCAACCGGTCGTCGGGTACAATTCGTCCAGTTCCGCTCCCGCCGCCCATTCAGCATTGCTTTGTATTAAAACGGGAAGTCTTCTGCCATCACTTTTCGGTTTGGATAATTTGGAACGGGAATTATTTTACCATGAGATTCCTAGTTGTCAAATTCGTTCCGTTGCGCTCCGTACCATTCGGTTTCGGTCCGGACAAGCATATAATTATGATTTTTAGAGGATTTGACCGTTTTTAAGTTTTTTTTGAAGGGCGCTGTTAGGTTCGAAAAGTGAAAATCACTTTTTATTTGAGGGTTTCCCCGATTTTTAAAAGCCATTTCTTTGGAGATCCCTGCTGCCAGCTTTTTTAAAAACAGTGTCGACGAAAGCAGACCTTCAGAAAATCACAACAAAATCGAGGCCGAACCATTAGAGCAACACTTTTAAAAATCTACGATTCCCTCGATTTTTGATGCATCTAATTTTCTATTTATTTCTGGTCTTCTACAGTACATAAAGTTAGTTTTTTCAGTCAGAAAATGACTGTCAAACGTCTACGGGTAGACGATCTCAGCCAGTTCGACACGTTTCTGTTCGACGCCGATGGTAGGTAGAACGTTTTTTAGCAATTTACCTCAGAAATTTGTACTGGCGCAAAATTCAGACTTGTCTGGCCTTGTGAGTTTTTTTGGTTTATTTTCGTGCAAATTTGGGAGCTGAGTTTCATGCGAAAACAAGGTCTAGACATCCCAAAAGTGCACAAATTTGTACTTTAAGCACCTATTTCCGTTTCAGGTGTTCTTTGGCGCGGCTCGAACACGGTGCCCGGATCGGTCGAGTTCATCGAGGATCTTAGGAAAAAGGTTGGGTTTAATTATAATTATAGAAAGTACATATGTAGCGGGAACCAATTTAAATTTTGTAAAAATCATTTAGTTCTGAAGGTTAAAAACTAAAAAAAAAGTTATTAATTAAAAACTACTGATTATGACTATTTGAATCACAGATTTTGAAAGTTGAAAACTAATAAAACTATATAATTTATGCATTTTAAGGGTAAACAAGTGTACGTCATCACGAACAACAGCACAAAAACCCGCCCGCAGTACCAGAAGAAGCTGATGGGCATGGGGTTTAATTTTCCGGAGGTAAGTGGCACGTTTTTAATGCAAAATCATTGTTTTAGAATCACATAATCTCGCCCGGTATTACACTACCATCATATTTGAAGGACAACGGCTACGAGGGAAAGAAAATTTATTTGATCGGCACGCCATCACTTCGGGATTCGCTTGAAGATATCGCTGGGGTGAAATGTATCGGATTGGGGGTGAGTTTTAAGACTCTAAGACGTTCTACGGGAGCTGCGAATTTCCTCAAAGATTCTCTGCGCGATTGCCCTTTCATGCTCATTTTCGGAGCATAAAAATTCGGAAAAATCACTGCTTGCCGGCCAGAACGGCAGCTTACGATTTCCGAAAAGTTTCTCTGCTGGTTTGCCTGCTTCTAGGCGCAGATGAGGACTGAATTCTCTCAAATTTTTATAGTTAATAAAAAATGAAAAACTTTAGCCCGACCATTTCGACGAGTTGACTGATGGAGATTTCCTCTTCGATGTCCGCAATGAGGAAAATGTGGCCGCTGTCGTGATCGGATTTGATGGTCACTTCAGGTGGATTCCACAAAAATGATTTAATCATGAATCAGCTCTTTAGCTACCCAAAATTGATGCGAGCCGCGAACTATTTGAAAGAGGCGGATTGCGGCTACTTCATCACCAACGAGGACTACACGTTCCCCGGGCCGTGCAGTGATATCGTTGTGCCTGGTGGGTCAAGAAAAAAATTTTGGGAAAATCCTAGACTATAACCCAAATTTAATGCCAGCATTGAATATTAAAAATCTTGCATGACTTACTGAGAACATTCCGTTTTTTTTCTGGGTTTCTCAAGATTTCCGTTACGTTGCGCTCCTCTTAACGGAGACCAATCAGCCGTTTTTGGGAACGTATCGTAGCTGAATTTCAAACAAACCTCTATTTGGGGTAGAACAACCCTTTGGAGGCGTTTTTTGAAGTTTTATCAGAGTTTAGCTACATTAGGCTCCTGTTGACATCCCGAAATATGCGTTCAACTCAAGTTCCAACGTTCCAACGCTCAATTTATTGAGTCGAGGCAGCGTTTTTGGCCGAACTCTGTGCTTTAGCAACGTGTTAGAGCCCGTTTTTGAGAATGCAGCTACGCTACGCTCCTGTTGACACCTAAAAACTATAGCTTAATTACGATATTGCGCCTCTGCCTCCCATGGAAACCCAAAATTCCAGGCACGGGTTGCATCACGGCTTCCGTCCGTGCAGTCACTGACCGTGAGCCCCTCGTCTTCGGCAAGCCCCACTCGACCGTCGCCGAATACCTGCAGCGTCACGGGAAAATCGACGCATCGCGTACGATCATGTTCGGCGATCGTCTGGATACGGATATTCTATTCGCGAACCGGAATGGGTTCTCGTCGTGTCTGATGTTGACTGGTATCCACAGTCTGGATACGGTGGAGAGAGCAATTGCTGAGGAACAGTTCGACATGGTCCCCCAGTATCAATTCTCGTTTGCCCCGTTTGCGGGCCGTTAAATTTGTGTTAAGTATTTTTGATCTTGGATCCGGTAGAATTCCTGTAGTTTGTACCATTATTACCCCAAAAAATCGATAGAACCAAATATGGAGTAGAATTCTAGGGTTTCGGGGTGTAATTTGGAGCGTAGCATTCTGGAATGCGCGTAATTTTAGCTTGTAAAACAGAAAATGACTAGACAGTCGGTTTCTTAATGGACCGTTGCGTAGTGGAATACGCAAAATGCCTAGTTTCATCGCTGTAAAGCACAATTTATACAAATTGAAGCTACGTTACGCTCCTGGGGGACATCTAGCCATTCAAGGTGTATTCCGGAGCGTAGTGTAGCGGAATTCGGTTTCTGTACCAAAAAAAGCCTCCTAAAATTGTTTGAAGGCTGATTTTGGCTGACGTGGGATTCTGCTACGCTACGCTCCTATGGGCACGCGTCGTAGTTTTAAGGTTTTTTTTGGAGACTAACTTAGCGGAATCCATTTTTTTAATCAAAGTATGGCTAGTAAAATTCCTTTAAAAGTATAGATTTTGAATGAAAGTTAGTTGTTCGCTACGCTACGCTCCTATCGGCACTTGAAACGCGGTTTCTAACCCTAGTTCTTCCCCCCGCAATACCTACGGTTAGCTTTAAGCTTCAAGACGCATTTTTGCAAGTTTTTTGTATTTTTTTCTGGTTAGTGGCCCGGTTAGAAGCAGCCTTGCGATTTCTATGCTTTGTTCTACTTTTCTATCCCTTCTTTCCCTCCATTCTTTCCTTTCCACCTCTCGAATAATCACCAAAAATCACCTCAGCCTCCCCGGTAGCCCGTGCTCATCCCGTATTTGGTTATTATGGTTAGCCCGTTAGAAAATGGCATTATATTGGTGTACCGTTGTGTACTGATGTTTTTTTTATGGATTTAAGGAATATTAATAAATCTTTGGTCACATAGAAAAAAGTGGAATTGACACATATCAAACAAATACGAGATGATACGATACCGTACGCAAGAAGTACTACCAAAACTATTCAAAAAACGGTGCTAATGCACTTGGGGGGGGGGGCAGACCGAATTTTGACTACAAGATGCTCCAAATGCCGTTTTTTAAACTCGAACCCTCCGGAAAAGCTAACAACATAGCAACAAAGCTAACAATAAAAAGCTAACAATAACAAGCTAATTCATACAAACGAAGCCTAGGCTTAGCTTGAGCCAGGTAAAATAATTGGTGCGGAAATACTAAGGCAAAAAATTTTAGGGATCTGGAGGATGAAAGAACGAGCAAAGGAGAATCAAGGAATCGTGGAGGGAATGAAGCATTCCGACGGGGGAAAAACCATCAAAACGGTAGATTTGAATTCAAGAGACTAATATCGATTTCAGCCAAACAAAACCACGCACCAAGAAAATCGAGACGCGGTATGCATTAACCCAAACGAATGATAAACAAAACACCAACCAGCCTCAATCGAGAAGAATAAGCTTCTGGTTTTTTTTCAATTCGCAAATAAAATCGTGAATATATTCAAGCGCATGAAGCACATTTATAACAAGGCCTTGGGATTGGCACTTTGAAAAACAGGATAAATTCCGCGGTACTAGGGGTTATGTAGAGTGAATCGTAGCTATCGGCACCTATTCGATGGAGGACTGCTACTACTATTCTGCTACTGACTTATTCATTTAAAATCTTTTCCGCCACCGGGCTGATTGGAAAGGACTCTCCAATTTTAGGGCATTTTATGGGCTTTATTCCGGACTTCTTTCCTCTAAATTCGGCCAAAAATCGAGGCACGGCTGTGTGTGACTCATTTCGTATTTATATTTGCATTCTCGATTCCCGATAACCCCGTGTCCGGGCCCATGCCAAAAAGGCGTGTGATTCATACTGCCAGAAATTTGTTTTGCCAATTTTTCCACTTCCCTAGAATATTGTGGCGAATTACTTTTTAAAGTTTTTCGAGGCATTCCGAGATACCATTAATGCCAGTTTGCTATTTTGGCTTCCTAGCCCCTTAAAAACGATAAAATCTATCAAGTACCGGCCAAAGAATCATACTACAATTCTCCTATACCTCACTCGTCGTCATCGAACTCCTTCATTCCTGGGGGGTCTCACCCAGCATCGCCCCGCCCGATGTTTGCCAACCATTTGCATGAGACTTCCCCGCCGAGAGCGAGAGAGTGGTCAGTAGTGAGAGACCACAGAGAATGAAAGGGTCAAGAGACGGCCAGAAGCCGGAGAAACAGGAGAAGCCTGTGCATCTGGGAATTGCAGGCTGGCGCGCGTCGCGTCCAGCCCCCTCACCTGACTCATGCGCCTTCACCTGTATCTCTCTCTCTCTCTCTCTCTCTCTCGCTCTCTCTCTCTCTCACTCGCTCTCTCTCGCTCTCTCGCTCGCTCTCTCTCGCTTTCTCTCGCCTCTACCTCTCGATTTTGACTGCTCCCTCGCGGCGCGCTAGCCCGCTTGTCACCAATTATTAGGAGCGAACAGCTATAATTCTAGTAAAAACCAGGGTTGAAAAGCCGCTTCGCGACTTTTCAACCCTGGCCCCGTCTCGGTCCCCATAATATTCTGGCTTTTGCATAATTGTCCTCCATTCAGAAAACAAAAAAAATGAAAAGAACCCTTTCTGGCTCTTTATATAGGCGACCATCCACTTCCGCTCTATGCTAATTATCCCTAACAAAGAGGTTTTAACGAAAACCTAAGTTTAATAGCGAAAATGGCCAATTTTTCAAAATCTGATATGTGTGCAGTCATCCCTAGACCATTACGCACCTAATGACGTATCATAGGTAGCCTAATACCCGTCCCTTCTTGAGATATCATCCGGACAGACAAACGGAAGTGGATGCAAAGTGGCACACACACACACACAAACACACAAACACTATTTTTTTATATATAGTAGGATCTTATCTCCCTCTCTCTCTCTCATTATTATGCGGGACACCTCTCCCCCATGGATTTTGCAACAATTCCCTTGTCTACTTTTTTACCCTGATCGTACGTACGTCGATACGTTTTTCCCGTTCTCATCTCGTCTCACCTCATGCTCATTTTTGGCTCTCCCTCAATTTTGAGGGATTCCCCGTTCATGATTTCCAGAGAAAAGACTTAAAGAAATCTCGGGACCGTCACGAGGTAGTCAAAAGCTCAGCTACTCACAAGTACTACTTTGTCAGCTGTTTTCGAGGGGAAATTGGAGTTTCCGGAGCATGATTTGGCAAATTTCTCGCACTATTGCTCTCTCTCACTCACTCTCCCTCACTCACTCTCTCTCGCTCGCTTTCTCTCTCTCTTTATCGCTCTCGCCCTTTTTTGCCGGACTATGGTTTCTAAACAGTAAAAATTGTCAACGGTTTCTCTATAGTTTTGCTCCTTACAGAAATGCTTAGTACATTCCGAAACAAATCACAATTTTTCTGACCATCTCTGACCCTCTGACCATTTCTCACCATCCATTGGTTGTGATGTCTTTTTAGTTTGTTTTGTTGTTTTCTGCCTTGCTTTGTGATTGCCTATGTTTTTCGCTGGTCCAGTAAATCCCATAAAATTCCCCATTTTCAGCCCATTTCTTATGGGCTACCCGCCACGCTATGTTGAGCCGACGATAACGGATGACACCTATTCCAGCAGCTACTTCACTTCAGAGGGAAGGACCCATCGACCCAGGTTTTCTAATGACAGGTAGGAATTGAATATCGTAATATCAGTGATTACAAAAAAACCAAGAATAAGCCCATATTCCTAATGAAAAACTGAAAATCACGACCCCTTTTGACACTAGTTTTCGGGATTTTTTATTTTTTTTTGAAAGGAACCGTGACCTGAAAACTGTTTTTGACAAATCGTACACACCATGTAATTTTTTCCAGAGGATTACTACAAGCTGAATAAAAACCGCCCTTTTCAGCAGTACCGACTCGAATTTCACCAAGTCGAATACCGTACAATGGGTCAAATACGGCATCTTTTTCAGCAATGTCGTATTTGCGGTAAGTTACCTCGGATATTTCTCTACTTTCTGGCGTTGCTAAGCTCTCAAAAATGCCATATTTTAGGTGGTCGGTACCGTCATCCTCGTCATGGGCGCCTGGCTACGGATAGACAGTCGGTTCAGAGATTTTTTGAGTGAACGGTAAGTTGCATTTTTTACGGGATTTCTAGAGCAAAAGCATTCTGTAATTTTCAAAACGCCGTCATTTAGGTATCGTCGCGTAGTCGAAGAAGCATTTTGGGAAGCGCCAACCCTCTACGTTTTCTCCTACATTCTTATCGTCCTCGGCGCGTTCATGATAGTCGTGTCGGTCATTGGTAAGTGGTTTTTTGTAAAGAAACTTTACGTTACAAGTCACTTTCGTTGACTTTTCCGCCATTTTCTCAGAGTTTCCCAGAGTCATTCTGAAATTTCGGCTCAAACCATACCTTAAAATGAAAAAAAATCAAAAAGGAAGTTTGCTCTGGCTTGACCGTGAGAAACAACTTAAAATTTGACTAGGGTTACGTTCGGTTATGAAACTCAGTGCGTGATAATTCAAGATCTTGGGGTTATCTTTATGCGGGAAACGCATTTTTGGTGTACAAAAATGACTGAATTTTCGTGGGATTCTCGTTCTGAAAGCTACTGTAGCCCAGTCACGCTCACGTTTTCTTACTTCATTAAAATGAGCCCCCCCCCCATGGTTAACTTTGTGTTTCCAACAGTTTTTTTTATGATGTCGTTGCTGTGATAGTTTAACGAAAATCAAGAACGAAAGCTTTCCTTCAACTTCCCAACATTCAACGTATGATAGCGCACCTTTCAGGCTGTTGCGGCGCCAACGTCAATGCCAAACCGTTCATGGTTGTCTACACGGTATTCGTGTTTATCCTGCTGATTTTCACCCTCAGCTCTGGCATCTATTTGCTCTACAAGCGCGAGGGGGGTACGTTTCTTAAAAAGTTCGGATTTCGTTTCCGTCAGTCGTTTCTAGACAAAACAGAAACAGCAAGAGTTCATTGGACCATTCTTTCTGTCATTTACAACCAAAAATTAATTTCTTAAGCTTAAGCTACCACTTCGTTGTTTTTACTTTTTTTTGAGATTGACATGGAGCTATCAGACGCCTTGAACTATATGGTACAACATTACTACCAGGGCCCAGGCATTGTTCAAGAGAGTCTTGATCATCTTCAGCAGACGTTCAGATGTTGTGGTACGTCTAACTGTCGCTCTCTCTCTCTCTCTCTCTCTCTCTCTCTCTGGCTCTCACTCTCACTCTCTCGCCCTCTCGCGCTGTCACTCAATGTCGCCCTCCCATTCTCTCCCTCTCTCTCTCGCTCTCTGACCCTCTCTCTCTCGCTCTCTCACCCTCCCTCCCCTCTCTCTCTCTCTCTCTCTCTCTCTCTCTCTCTCAGGCTCTCACTCTCACTCTCTCGCCCTCTCACGTTGTCTCTCAATGTCTCCCTCCCATTCTCTCCCCCTCTCTCTCGCTCTCTCTCTCGCTTCAAAAATCTTTTCAGGAAATGCCGGCTGCTCCGATTTTCGAGTGTTCCGTCAAGATCCACCCCGAACGTGTGATATTCGATGTGACGGATGCCATTTTCGGTTTACCGTTTCAGCTTTCCGGGTTATTTTCCAATTTTTAGAATATGGAACGCGCTACGCATCGGTTTCGGCGCGGCGTGCGTTGTATTTTTCTTCGTGTTGCTGTGCCAAGTAAGAAACGGCAGTTCCCCGGCAAAAATAAATTATTTTAGTCGCTTACCGTCGTGATAACCCTCTATCTGATCCTACGCCCCGATACGCACGTTCGCGTCACCTACTACAAAACCAGAAAATACATGGCCCCACCGCCGCTGACGAGGTAATTTTTATAGCCTAAAAATTGAAAATTTAACAATTGCAGGGAAGTGCTGAAGCGCCATGAGATGCCCTATGTTTTGAGGAGTCATCGGAGGGCCATTTGACCTGTATTTAGTGTATTAAAAGACTCATTTTAGTGACTTTTAAAGGGTTTGTGAAGTCAAAAACAAGCCATTTCATACCCAAAATCCAAAAATTTTTATTGTAGGGGCTTTTTTTTAGTCTAAAGCATATTTTGCCAACCAGTGCCGTTAGCTTTGGCTTGCTAGGCCCTTTAAAATCGAAATATTTATTTTTCACGTTTTTACGGCAGCCAGAAAACTTGTTGACACCCGGCTTTATCACCATTTTCCGTCTAGTCTCCGTGTTTCGACTTGAAAAGTCACAGCCTTGATTTCTCTCTCCAAGTGCCGAACTCCCGATCCCAGCCTTAAACTTTTTGTGCTTTTATGAAAGTATTTATGGTTTTGTAAATTATATAAAGTGGCCATAACTCACTTGCTCTCTCTCTCTCACTCACTCTCTCTCGCTTTCTCTCTCTCACTCTCACTCTCACGCTTTGTGACTAACTTACTCCCTCTCGCTCTGCCTCTCTCTCTGTCTCGCTCTCTCACTTGCGCTCTATCTCTCGCTCTGTCTCACTCACTGGCTCTCTCTCTCTCTCTCTCTCTCTCTTTCTTCCTAACTTTCTCTACCAATCTCTAGTCCACCACCCCACAAATTGTGATCTTGCAAATGCTGCATTTGTGATGACTGCCCTCAATTCTCATCATCTGCCCCCTCCTCTCCCATTTCACGCCCCATCCATAATTCAGGGCTTTCCGCAAAATTGTGATACCTGAAAAATAAAGGCTTTCTCGAGACAATGGCTCCAAAGATGTTTCGGTTTTAACTGAAAGCTCTATCATTCTGAAAAAATTTCCTTACATTTTCAAGACCAAATTTCTTTATAGATTAAGCTCATTTTTATCACCAGAATGGACACGCAAAAAACGTCTCCATGCCCCTCCCAGCTGCCAGCCGCGACTTTTCCCGATAAGCCAGGTAGATTTTGTCTTTCTCTGCCGAGAATATTGGCCTAAACTTGAAAGTTCCCTTTTTTCACCATAAAATTGATGGTTTTTGAGACCCGGTTAAAACTTAACTTTAAAGGGCTAGAAAGGCGTCAAAATCGACCCCTTTCTGCGACTGGGTCTCGAAACTACATGTTCCGCCAAATGACACGTTCGTGTGAGCTGATTTGGAGTATCCCCTAGTTGTCGACGCCGAGTCGGGGGCGGGGTCGATCATCATACTTTCTGGTCCCTTTAAAGGGGCCGACAAGGCAGATTATCCAGCGTGCTGGCTATGGATTTCGCACCGATTTTTCGACGCAACGCGATACGCAAAACGCACGCGGCTTGACCACCGCTAGCCACCGTTAACTTGGGGCCGTAATCGATTAGGAAATGCGTGCGTACCACGACTGCGGAAAAATCCATGGAGATCCATGGCTTGTCGGCCCCGTTAAAAGCCTATTTCAGACAATTTTCTCCCCGGCTGATGGCCGTTTGCGACTTTACGGTCACCTCGGAAGAGGACCGTCGCCAATTCATTGATGAAGTCGCGAGACGTGGAGTCGTCGTAGCACGCACCTTCCAAATCGAAAATGAGCCGGCGGATGGGCCCGAAGCTGTAGGTTTGCTGCCGAATTCGACTTATAAAAACCCTTGCTTTGATGCGGCGCGTGGCTGTTAAGACTAAGCCGCGCGACGGGCTTGAGCTTCGCGTTTTCTAGTCCCAATAACGTTAAAATTAATACCACGTCGGATACCTACGATTGCATGATGTAGACCTTATGACCTTTACAGGTAGAGCCGGAGCGTCAGCCAGTACCACCACCACCACCACCACCTGAACCCCTTGAAGATGATGATGCTGACACTTGCTGAAATTCCAAGCCTATTCCCAATTGTTCATAATGGATTCCGACCCTCTCAAGACGGTCAAATGACATGCGCGTTGCGTGTCGCGGCAGAATCCAGGGGGAAAAGACGGCACGGTTGGCTGGCGGTCCGACCTGCTATGAAGAGTCCAATGCTAGGCCGTGGGCGGTGTGCTGGTCACAAATGCGAAATCCGGTTAAGGTAACCATCCGGATTTGAGAATTTTTTGGTTCTTTTTCATTAGCGGGGGGAGTACATTAATGCTATAAGCTTTGAATAGTAGCTATTTCTCTCGCTATTTCGTCATAGTTTAATCGGAAAAATCTATTTAGATAACATAGCAAAATGTCTACAATTTGAATTTTTTTTGTCTAAAATCGACAATTTTTGGTCGAAAAAGTTACATTGTCATATTTTTTACTGAAAATCTGTAAGGTTTTTACTATTAGGGAATAGTTCTATATAAGGAAAATTTGGTTTTCCCGGATAATGATATAAGGATAGCATTAAAAAAAGAAAGCAAGCTGTGTGAGAGAGAAAAAGCTAGTTAGATTTTATTTTTAAAGCTTAAAATCCCAATTTTTCTTTAGTTGAAATGCTCGCACATCTTCTGCGAGAACTGCCTGGATGCGTGCTTGCTAAAGCAGAACACGTGTCCAATGTGTCGAGCCCAAATCTTTCGGATACGATCTAAATTTACCTTATTGTTTCGTTACAATGTTTCACTTTCAAAACCCTCATTTCAACAAGGCCACGCAGCAGAGTACATCTCTGCTTTTGTGACGTCGAATTGCCCCAAAACAGCCCTCTTTCTCTCCTTTTTCTCCCTTTTCCGCTTTCTCTGCCTCGTTTCTCTTTTCGGCCACCCAGTCATTCGCCTGCCGCTAGTCCCCCAGTCAATGCTTCCCGAAAATGTGATCATGCACATGCCCCATTCTTGATTCATCCTCAATTTTCGACGTTTTTGTTCAAATTTATGTAAAGAATAACTGCCTGACAGTTTTGTACATATAATAAAGGACTTTTGACAATGGTTTTGTTACATAAATTCAGTTTTTACTGAAAGGTTACCGAATTTTTGTCGTTTCGTTCGTTAGATGTTGTTACCTATCCCAAGGTCGATAAAAGCATCTCGAAAAACTCTAGTTCAACCTAAAGTCAAGCATTCACAACGAAACCTTCTACGTTTTGAACGGAAACAACTGTTCTAAACTTTCTTCTTTTCGCTCAATCACAATCATCCACTTTATGAGAATCTGTCGCTCTAAATGCCTAAATCATGGTATAAAGCTTCCGTTAAACTCAATTAAAGTAATCATAGCAAATTAAACAAACTTTTGAAAGAGTTAAATCCATTTTGCGAACTTTTTCTTTTCAATGAATTCTCGTCGTTAGCAGAATATCGTGAAAGCCTACAAGGTCTTGGATTCAGCACCTTCCAAAGCTTCATTTTCAACCTAAGTTAAAGTATTTCACAGGGAGAAGTCCGCCAGGTTTTGGCCACGTGGCCGCCAGCTTCCCGCCCGATGGCCGCCACATGGCGGCCACGTGGCCGCCATCGGGCCGCCGGGTGGCCGCCACCTGGCCGCCATCGGGCCGCCGGGTGGCCGCCACCGGGCCGCCATCGGGCGGCCAGGTTGCGGCCAGTAGGCGAAAATCCGGCGGCCACATGGCGAAAAGATGGCAGAACGGGGGTTCCCGGGCCAGGTAATGCTCCTTCTAATATCGATTATTATTAAGCCTAGTGCCGCTACTATGCATTGCAGTCATTTAGAAGCAGCCTGCTTCATGTCGGGGATGCGCTGGAGGTGTGGCTGCCTGAAATATGTCGTTTTTATTTTAAATCATCGTTTTTATATTTAGCTCTACTTTTTCTATGGAAACGGTTATCGTTTTACTTCATACACATACTTACTTTCATCAGTGACCGATGTCCATTGCGCAGAAAGCATGCGAAGTTGTAGAAAAAATCTAGGATTATAGTTTTGGACCTACCGGACATGACTTATTTTTTTCACCGGCGTGCGAGCAGCAAAGTATCAGTCTTTGAGCAGCTCCTTCTGTTGCAGCCAAACAACCTATAGATGATTGAACCTTAATAGACTTACCCAGGATGCAATGCATTAAAATAACAACTCACGGTTCCATAGAATAGAAACCAAAACTAAAACTAAAACTTTATCAAAGAAACCAATAGCACTTGCTTACTAACCGCAATGCCATCTTCCGATGCTGTTTCCGTCACAATAATTGTCTTTTTATTTGGGTCTATCTAAAATAATAATCCTAAAGTAAATACAATACCTGAGAGAACAGACTTTGGTGATTAGTCAACGACGTGGAGTCTGTTTTCCATCTAAATAGCTAAAACTCGCAGTAAAAGTAAAGCAGAAATCAATTTACAAGCGTTTATAAAAAGTTTCATAAAAATTGATAAATCGGTTCTTTAGGATTCCCGGGGGGGGGGGGGAAAGTATTCCCGGGGGGGGAAACCAATTTTTTTCCTGGTGGTCCCGGTTGACCTAGTAATCAAATATAAAGTGTTTTCGAATTGTTTTTAGTAAGTTTTAACTATATTTAAAGCAGAATAACTTTCAGAAAAATTTAGAAAAATGTTTGAAAAAGTCGAAAATTTGGTCATTTTGGGTCTATTTTTCGACCTAATTTTTAATTTTTTACATTTTTTTTGGTTAAAATGTGTGTAGTTTTTATGCACAGGAATAGTTAAAAACAATTTAGAAACGCATCCGCAATTTATACAAAAATCTAGGCTTTCGCCGAAAAAAATTTGGTTTCCCCCCCCGGGAATACTTTCCCCCCCCGGGAATCCTAAAGAACCGATAAATCTAGCTTTTATGACAACGAAAACATTGAGTGAGGCCCGAAAAAACGCCCAAGTCCCCAGAGCAACGCAATAGTACTATCCACAACTGGCGGAAATCGGGCGGAAACCTGGCGGCCACCGCCGCCAGCTTCTGGCGAAAAGCGGTACGACAGTGTACTAAAAACCCCTGGCGAAATTCTGGCGGCCAGGTGGCGAAAACCGGGCGGGCTGGCGGCCATCGGGCGGGAACCTGGCGGCCAGGTCGGGCCCGATGGCCGCCAGGTTTTCGCCAGGTGACATGGCCGCCTTCAGGCGAAAATCTGGCTAAAAGCTGGCCAAAATCGGGCAGCCTGGCCGCCATCGGGCCAAAATCTGGCGGACTTTTCCCTGTGTACCTCGAAATTTTGATTTTTATAAAGAAAAATATTTTTCCGAGCTTTTTTCGTTTTGGATCAATTCCCGACGTCATCAGTATCCAATCACCCTCGTGATAAGACTGTCGTTAGGTTCCTTGCGTCACATCGCCCTAAAAGAATCGCCAGCAAATAACTTTTTCTTCTTCTACAGGATGGCTTCTGAAGACGGCCCTCCACGTGCCCCTTCACGCCCCTCGTCGTTGCCCTCAACTTCTTTGATAAGACAGGTATTTTATGGTTATTCGGGCCACGGGATTTTCCGGAGAAACTAGGCGTGATATAGCAGAGAAACTAAACCTGTTGGTGCCTGAAAACGGCATTTTTGATGCGTCATCAGCACGAATGTGATATTCCACGTATAGCTCGTATAGTAGTGCGAAATCGGCGTAGAAATAACCGGGAAACCGGTCCTGTCCGTGCTTGCAAGTGTTTTTTTGATAGTTCATCATCGAAATTGAGCTGTATGCCATATAAAACGGGGATAATCGTCTTTATTTATACTTCTACGGGGACCTGGGCTTTTCCAAAGGTAATTACCGCGATCTCGCACAAAAACTGAACCTTTTCGTGCCCGAAAATCATGTTTTTCTTGATTCATCAGTACGGTTAGGATGTGCCAAGTCTAGCTAGACTCCCCGGGTTGATTTATCGTTTTTGGCAGCCGAGGCTTTTCCGTAGAAAGCTGTCCATGCCTAAAAATAAAGTTTTTGATGAGGTTTCGTCGAAATTAGATACTTACCACGTCAAATCGGGATGATCATCGTTATTTTCGAAAAATCGTTGTTTTCAGCTGTCAGACGTGCTTCGAACGGCCTCCTCCGTGGATTCGCCACCACTCAATTCGGCGCCGGCAACGATGCTGCGACGAGTGAGTGTTTCTACTTTAATGTCGCTCATACTAGCGTTATAGCCTATATAAAGCCTAAAAACTTATCTCGAAAAGCCGCGGTATCGTTTTTCATTACTTACGTGAGCGCCAGAAACCCTGATAATGTTGTTTGCGACTTTGGAATTTCTTATTCTTGAGCAAGACGTTCGAAAGATTGTGGCTCTTAGCTGATTTTGGTATGGCATAACGAATTAGCGTAACTTCCGGTTTTCAGACGACGCCCAACCAATTCACCGCCATCAACATGGACGGCCACGACCCCAACGACGGTCCGATGGCCAATGGTAATTGATAGTTATGTAGATTACATTATTTTTCTAGCCATCGCCCACGATCTCGACGAAAACGGGGAGCTCGCCGCCACCAGCGATGAGGCGGCCGCCGGCGAGGAGAACGGGCAACCGGATACGCTAGAAGATGTGCGGGCTTTAATGGTTTTCTTTTATTATTTTATTGTGGCAACGTTTATCATCTTTTTCCGAATTCTGAAAAGTTCTCCTTGCTACAAAACGATTCCTTCTCTTCGTAAAGACTACCTAAAAAGCTCTCCTTTCTTTTTTCTGCCTGCTTATAAAGCTATGTCATTACTTTTTTTAGGACGTCCGAAACCTGCGAACACAATATCAACGGTTACGCGACCATCTGCAAAACAATAGGGATGCGCAATCGGTTGGGTTTTCTTTTTAGAAAATGTCTGTTTCTTTTTTTTGCTGCGTTTCTCCTAATACTGCCATTGTTTTATACCGTAAATCCTAACGAAGAACCAATAACTAAACCGAACAACGGCTTTTCATAGCGTAATCATTAAAACTTATGTTCTTTTTAGTTAATCCGGCTGTGGCTTGAAGTGTTGCCCTTCCTCCTCATCTTCCTCTGCAAATTCATCGAGGAACACGCGCCCGCGCTCTACTACTTGCTATTATCGTGAGTCATTTTTGGGTTATAAACATTACGAAATGCATTTAGTATGGGCACGTTCTTGATCGTGGACAGTCGACTGCAGTCCATCCTCGCCAAGACGGTCCCCGGCCGGTCGTACCCGATTCTGATCGCCTGCATCCTGGCGCACTTCTTCATCCAGTCGCAGAATCCGGACATTACGGAGATGTGGTGTAAGTTTTCTAAACTTTATAAAAAATTAATCGTTTCTTTGTATTTTAATGGAGGACCGAATTTTCATCATCACATGCTTTACAATAGAAAAACGCAAAAAAGACAAAGCTTTTTAAAAATTTGAGTTTTTTTGGGAGAAAACCGGCCAGTTTTGAGTAGGAAATCGGTTTAAATTGAGTTTTTATATAAACTTCATGCTCCTTTTCAGACGGCCTCTCTTTCCAATACACGCAGCTGCAATACGTCGGCGCGATGCACACGCTGCTCCTCATCGTGCTCACCGACCTTCTCTGCAAGGTCGTCATCGTGGCGATCAAGGCAATGGTGAGCATTTTTATTTGATGTTCTTACCCGTTTTTTTTGTTTCAGTTGACGCTGATCCCGGATATGTGGCTGTCGTTGAAGCGGAAGAGGCGGCTTTTCCAGACCATCGAATACACCTCCCATCTCTACAGGGCGCTTTTGCCGATTTCGAGGTGTGTTTTCTAGACTTCTTTCTAGATCCGCGATTTTTGGTCGAAAAATCGTGACTTTTTTTTTGTAATTAATTCTTATTCAATATTTGTAGAGTTTTTCCGTTTCAGAATAGTAAAAACGGGTTTGAAACACTGCCTATATTTTTATCAGCAAAATTAGACCCGTAGAAAAGGTGGTCTCCCCCCTCGATAATGCCAAAGCACCGAAAACATATTTTTTAGGTGGACCCGATACTTCATCGGCAATTCCCCCGACGGCATCACGTATTTCGACCTGGCCCTGCTGATCTTCTACTGGTGTGCAAAGGTATGTTTTGGTTTTTTATTTTTTTTCTACGGTCTATTTTAGGTGAACGAGCTGTGGCGCTACATCCCCGACTGCCTGTCCTCGCTGAAGATGGCCGTCCGGAACACGTCGAGCGGGGTTCGCCCCTCCTACGAGGAGCTGAGCAACGTGCGCCAGTGCTCGATTTGTCTCTCGGATATGAAGAACCCGATCAAGGTGACCAGTTTGAGGAGTTGGAACGATTGACGTAGTTTGTAGATTTTTTACTAGACGGTCGGAAAACTCAATTATTACTAAAAAAAAATAGCGAAATTTCGATTTTGGTGCTTGTGTATTATTCTGGGCCCAAAATTTTTTGAAATTTTGAGGAAATTTTGTGCAGGCTTAGAAATGCCTAGTGACTGAATAGAAAGTGTTTTAGCAAAAATAAAACTATGGTTCAACTAAAAAACCTATCAAAAAGTGGGAATTTGGCCAGGAAACGACCATGTTTGGTCGATGAATCTATATATTTTGTATTTTTGACAAAAAGTAGTAACGTTTAACTTTAGAAATATTCCACTGGTTTACAAACATTTCCGGGGAAAATTTACCTTTATGGTCCTCGCCCGAAAAGTGTTTTTTTCGGGTCGGAATCGATCTAGAAATGGTCAAAATGTAGTTTTCAGTGAAAAAAATGCGCCGGAAAGAAGTTTTTGAGGGCTAAAAAGACCTTTTTTTGCTAAAATTCGGGGACCATAAAAGGGGGTACGGGGGTATGTCGTTTATGGTCCTCGGCTAAAATCCAGTTTTTCTTCTCGGAAACAATCCAGAAATGTTCAAAATGTCATATTCAGTGAAAAAAATGCGCCGGAAAGAAGGATTTAATCACTAAAACGACTTATTTTGCTGAAAATTCGAGGACCATAAAAGGGGGTACGGGGGTATGTCGTTTATGGTCCCTACCTGAAAAGTGTTTTGTCTTTTACCAAATCAATAGATAATTGTTGGAAATTCATAATACTTCGAAAAAAAAGTGCCGGAAAGATGTTCGTGGTCGCCTAAGACTTCTGAACAAGGTGCGGCACTAGCATTGTCAGGCAAGGCGGGCCGTCGCTTCGGATGGGCTGCCGCTCCACTCTTCCGAAATGGGGGCGCCCCCGGCCGCTTCGCCGGCCTTGGCGCCCCCATTTCGAAACCCTGTACGAGCTCGCACCCATCCGAAGCGACTAGGCCCCCGGTGGCACGAAGCCTTATTTTTAGGCTAAAACTGGGCTGAATGAATTTTTGTACCAAAATAATTTTTGCAGCTAAAAAGGTCTTTCCGGCGCTTTTTTTGAACTGCAAACGATATTTTGAACATTTCTGGATTGTTCCCGACGAGAAAAACTGGATTTTAGCCGAGGACCATAAACGACATACCCCCGTACCCCCTTTTATGGTCCCCGACTTTTAGCAAAAAAGGTCTTTTTAGCCCTCAAAAACTTCTTTCCGGCGCATTTTTTTCACTGAAAACTACATTTTGATCATTTCTAGATCGAGTCCGACCCGAAAAAACACTTTTCGGGCGAGGACCATAAAGGTAAATCAAGCCCATTTCCGCTATTTATATTTGAAAAATTGGATTCTAGGGAAAAAAGTGTAATCGCCCCGCCCCCGATAATGAGTAAAAACCTCTATTTTTTAGTTTGATTTGGAAAGTTCATCTGTTAAAAATTTCACAGCAACGGTGTAGATAGGCATGCAAAGTTCAGTCACGGTGAAAAGCATGTGGAATTCTTCAGCGGCTTCAAATCTGTATTAATCTATATAATCGACCCATTTTTACAGCTGATCTGCTCGCACATCTTCTGCGAGGAATGCGTGGAGACGTGGCTGGAGGAGAAGCACACGTGCCCCATGTGCCGGACGACCCTGGACAAAGAGGACAAGTCGTGGAAGACGGGCGCCACCTCCAAGCTCGTCCGCTTCTACTAGCCGCCGCCTTGATCTCATCTCTGCCCTAGAAAAGCACCCACAAACAAACAAACATACACATAAATACCCCCCAAAACACCGGATTCTTACTACGGTTAGCGCTTTCACATCTTTCCCGGCCCCGCCCCCCTGCTTTTGCTTGGCCCCCCAGATTTTCTATAGCATGGTTATGTGATACTTGTACTCGTTCTACTCACTAGATCTTTTATGGCTTTTCCCCTGCCCTGTCCTTCTTTTTTTTCTGTACCCTCTATTGTGGTAAAGTCTACGTTTTTTCGGTGGATTTTTAGAGGTATTTAGGTGGTAAGCGGAAATTCGTGGAAAAAGGTTTTAGATAGATTTTTGCGGTTTGAAAAATAGAATCTACGGATTTCCGTCAAATTTTTGGAAGTATTTAGCTGAAGCGGAAATTCGTGTGAGGAAGTTTTGTCGGATTTTTGATGATTGGAAGATAGGACTCTACGGATTTCCGTTTCCGGACTTTCTGTTCTTTTAGATTCTTTTTTAGATGGAAAGGGTTCTGGTCCGTTAGCGGGGGTGGTTCCTTTATTCTGCGTGATACAAACTATTTCATATCACGAGTTAACAAAAAAATGGAAAATTCTGATATTTTCGGGCAACAATGTCGAAAAATTATTGCTTTTTCGACATTTTTGACTTTTAAGAATGTTTTATAACTTTTTCGTAGTCGAAAACTAGCAAAAACACAAAACTGTTAACGTTGCGCAAAATAAAGGGCGCTAACTCTGCCCCTTCCCGCTAACGAACCAAAGCCATCAATCACGGATCTACAGAGTACCCTTTTTGTTTGAATGTATCCGATTTATTCCCCTACTTTTCCACCCCCGACCGCTTTCTAGTGCCTTCTAAAAAATTCCAAAAAATTGCGCCTCACCAGCGGCCACTGACTGTATTTGATGTGTTCTTCTGATTGATGAGTGTGCAAACGTGGTGCATTGCCATTTTCTTGGCAGCTTGGCTTTTTCGAATTCTAAATTACGCCCCTTTTCTGCGCTAGCTCGCCCCTGTAAAACCAAGAAACACGCCCCGGGATTCGTTGTAGTGAAATTGTACGGGATCGCCGCTCGTCGCGCTGAATTGTGATGGTCTTTTTGTCGGTTTCAAGATTTTAATAAATGATTTGACCTACAGAATTTGCATTGGTTGGTTGGTGTATCGTTGCACGGCTTGCACTTGCACTGCGGTTTTTGAGAAAGCGCGGCGTGCTGAGAGTGGGTTTTTCTTGCACGTTTTGAAACTAGTGACGAGCCTGCCAAATTCACGCTGATGCCCTATTTTTGACGCTGGTGGTCTCGCATTGGTTCGCGTTTGTTCATGCAAAGCTGTCGGAGGATTAACGTTTTTTTGGCGGACATCGATTCGGGCATTTGACTAGCACTTTTTCACGGCACCCAAAATTATTAGACTTTTCGCCATGGTATTTAAAAATACGCAATGATTTATCTTTTCATACCTTCGAATTAGCCTTTTCCATTTTTTTTTGGCTAATCCGTCAGCGGTCAAGAACGTCACCTTTTCTGCGCGCGCGGTTTTAGAAACTATTTATAGCCCTTTATCTGCCCGTGGTTCTTATAGAACCATCGTTGCTTCTTGGATCTCTCTCTCTCTCTCTCTCTCTCTCTCTCTTATCCGGCTACCCGGGATATATCAGATCGTTTCTCAAGAGCAGCTAGCACTGTTAGAGAGACAGACAGGCAAAGACACAGCGGACACACAAATCGACACCAAATAAACAAACAAACATCATCCGGCAACGTCCGACCCTTGGTTCTCGGCTTGCACCCCCCCTAGCATTTTTCGTTTCCATGGTGAGAAAGGGTGTTTTAGGATAATCCCCCAGAAATAAGGTTTGGAAATAAATGTTCTCTTTCATGTCATTTTGGCGTTTTTCGTGCCAATTTCAATTCAGCTCTTTTTATATTTCTACTTTTACCTTTTTTTTGGATTCGACGATACTCCACTTAAAACCGTGGGTCTTTCGCATAATTGGGGGTGGGACTAAATTTTCTGTATAATTCTAGAAGCTAATGTGGTATCGAAGGTAGTAAGTGTTTTAATAGAATTTATAGTCAATTTAGCCATATTTTAAGTGGAAAAACGATCTGGAAAAACTTCGAAAATTTTTTTAGTTTTCTTTGAAAAATCTATATTTCTATGTTTTTTAATCAAAGTTTGCAATAGGTTACTTTGAAAAAAGCTCGTCCTCGATAATGCGAAAGAATCTAAGATTCTAAAATTAAGGCCATTTTAGATTATAACATGTGAGAATGGTTTCTACAAATGAAGACTCGAAAATTCGCAAATTTATTCATCATCGACAGGTACGAAATTGCGCGCTTTATGCAGTATTAGCTCATTTTTTCAGATCAATATAATTATTACGACGCTTCTAATATTCGTGTCGACCTACATCGCCCTCGTCACCTGCCTTGGCGAGAATATTTTCAACCCGATAGGTAAGGATGCTTTTTCAGGTTTCTTTTGAAACCGTTTCTGTTGTTTTTGAATCCTCAAAAAGCTGTTTTAAAAATAAAGAAAATGCATAGCTTAAAAAATTTCGTCGTCGTCTTTAGGGAATGTAACGGAACCAGCCTGGCCGACCGTTAATACCCGAGATGTCATCAATTCCACGATTTCCACCTTCTTCATCGTCGTTTTTGGACTTATCGCCGGCCGTCTATGCTTTCTCGTCCATCTGCCGCCTTTGTTAGGTGCGTATGGGAGTTTTTCAGACGTAAAAGTTATACAAGACGTTGTAGAAGAAAAATAGGGCGTTTTGCATTATCGTGGAAGCAACTTTACAAATTTTTGCTACGAATAAAGATAAGGCTTTTCGACCCGAATTTAGTCTTTCTTTTCTAGTTATATGGATAGTCCTCACGTTTTAAATGTAGTCAAAATTACAAGAAACCCATTAGAACACTTCCTGTCACGTAAAAAGGAATTTTTGGGAATAGGATAAAAAAAAGTCCGGGTACTGGACTGTTAGCGGGGGAGGGGCGGGGTAACTAATCCTTTTCCCTTACCTGTTGATGATATGTTGTGTTTTTATGGCGTTTTTAGTATTGCTAGAACGTTTTGATTGTTAGAAAGTTGGAAAGAAGGTCAATCTCTTTAAAAATCTGATAATTTGAAATTTTGACGTTTTTTGGTCACTTTAATGCCATTTTTTAATTGGAAAATCGAAATTTTCATAGCAAAACCTGTTTTAAAAAGCAATACATTTTTCAGGCTCCCTCATCATCGGGATCGCCCTGAAGAACATCCCCGGCGTGAACGAGTGGCTAATAATTCTGCCCTCCTGGGATGCGGTGCTCCGGAAGCTGGCCTTTGCCTTGATCATGATCCGCTGCTCCATGGGCATCAACTTGGCGGTGGTCAGGGCGAATCCGGTGGGCAAGACTGCAAAGATTTTTGAGAAATCCGATTTTTAGCGAATTCTTGTCTCGCTCGGCTGTATCGCGCCACTCGTCGAGGCGCTGTGTATTTTTGTAGCCGCTCATTTCATCTTTAGCTTCCCGGTGTCGCTGAGTCTGGTGTTTGGGTGGGTCTTGCTTTTGAGCTTTGGATCTTTTCCATTATCAGGGGCGGTTTAACAGTGTGTTTCATAAAATTTAGCTTAATTTGAAGGGCAGCAATGTAGGAAGTTTTAAAAACGCGTAAAAGTAGAGTATTTTCGGTTAAACATGGGTGGTAAAACGTTGGTATTTTCACATATAGCTACAAATTTGTGTCCCCCCGACCCCGATAAAGCATAAGAGGTTTCGTGCGGCAAAAAGTTGAAACCGTTAAAAGTCAAAAATTCGCGTCAAAAGATGTATAAGAATGCGAAATCTTTGTGAAAATCGACAAGTTTCGGTTTATATTCCATATTTTTCGAATTGTTAATAAGACGTTTAGAATTTTACCTCCGGCGATAAAACACAAATTTTACCCCCAATAAAGCAAAAGCTCTTTCAAGCGCCGAAAACCTTTAAATTTCAGTTTTCTGCTCGCCGCCAACTCGCCAGCCGTCACCGTGCCCTCGATGCTCCACTTTCAGAATACGAATCACGGCACGGCGAAGGTAAGCATCAATCGAAAAATCGTAACGTGATTTTCAGGGAATTCCCACTCTCGTCCTGGCCTGCGCTTCTGCTGATAATGTGTTGTTGATCGTTGCCTACACGGTGTCGATTGGATTGGTTTTTGCATCAGGTATGTCTCGGTTTCTCTCTCTCTCTCCCTATCTCTCGCTCTCCCTCTCTCTCCCTCACTCTTTCCCTCGCTCCTTCTACCAGACTATCTATCTGTAACTCTCTCACTCTCTCTCTCTCTCTCTCTCTCTCTCTCTCTCTCTCTCTCTTTCTCTCTCGCTCTCTCTCTTTATCTCTCTCTACTCTCTCTTTCTCTCTCTCTCTCTCCATCTCACTCGCCCAAATTTTGACGTATGTCATAACTTTCAAGAATTTTTCAGGCTCCCTCTTCGCCACTATCGCCTACACCATCGGTGAAATTGTTGCCAGCGCAGCGATTGGAATATTTTTGGGTAGTTTCAAATTTTAGAGCACCAGTACATTATCCCTCAGGCTGGCTACTATGGTATTTCCCCCGCAAAAAGGACACATACACCCATTTGGCACGCGGCATCGTGTTGGTCACCCTTTCCTTGGCACTCCTGTTCTCGGCTATACGGTAATGGGGTTTGCGAATACCTTCCAACTTCGGCTTCAGGTTGGACATCGAGTTCACGGGCTCAATCTCACTGGTTGCGATGTGCTTGACAGCGGCGATACGGTGGAAGACGAATAGTGAGAAACAGGTGGGGGTTTTTGTTGTATTGTATCTCTAGCAGTTTCCTCGTGCTTCATGGAAATTAAGTCTATCAAAAATGAGAACTTCATCACAGCCTCGTAATTTTTCCATTAAAAAAAAATTTATAAGTAGTTAGATTTTGCATTTAACAAAGTTTGAAATAACTAGCGAAATTTTGGAAAAGGCATTTTCAATAAGGTACGAAAATTTGGTCGTAAATCGACAGTTTTTTTGTAATGTTTGGTCGAAATTTCGATTGTTTCTGCGCTTATCAACAGTAAATGCAATGGAAGTAAAGACGTTTTAAAAAAACTACGGACGCGAAAAAACTTTAAAATTCTTCCAGACGCGTCTCGAACAACGAGTGTACGCCGTTCTTTGGGACCTCATCTTCCAGCCCGTCCTCTTCGTGCTCATCGGCATGAAATTTGAGATTTCTGAGGTATCGAACGTTCTTTCGTCTCTCTCTCTCCCTCTCTCTCTCTCTCTCTCTCTCTCTCTCTCTCTCTCTCTCTCTCTCTCTCTCTCCCTCTCTCTCTTTCTCTCTCGCCCTCGCCGATTCTCTATCCGGTTTCAGTTATCCTGGCACGGCATCCTAATCGGCTTGGCTTGCTTGGGCATCGGCTTGGTCGGCAGAGCGATTGCTGTCATCCTCCTCACCGTCGGCGCCGGGTTGACCATGTCGGAGCAGTTGATCTTCGTCTTCTCCTTCGTCCCCAAGGCTACCGTACAGGTTTGGACTCCGTTTATATTGCAAAATCATGTTTTGTAGCAAGAAAATCGGGTTTTTGGATAGAAAGTTTTTTTTTGCCGGTTTTCAGCTCTTTTTTAGGCTGCGCTCGCCCCGGGTATCGTCGTCGCAGCCGCAGCTTTCCCAGAATTATTACCACAAGTAAGAAATCAATATTTTTTAGCTTTTTTCACCGTATCTAGGCTTCAATCGTACTGTCCGCCTGCGTGGTGGCCATCCTGCTCACCGCCCCGCTCGGTCAGCTGGCCCTCGGCCTGTTCGGTCCCAAGTTCTTGACGCAAGACACCAAGGTTGGAAATACACGTATACGAATTATCATACGTACGATACCCACGAGTTATATTTTCGTTAAATTTTGCCAGGCTCTTTTGCGTTATCGGGGGGGGGGAGGGGCGCAACGTTCTTCTAAGGATCCAAATATTATCATAAAAACTACAAAAAAATAGTTATTTAGACAAAAACCCTCGTTTACCAAAATTTCGACTTTTCGAAAAGTTTTTGACAAATTTATCTAGTTTAACAAAACAGTAAGTATTTTTCTATTATTTTAGCAAAATTTATCTAGATTCAAAGTGGAATACAATAATAAATACATGGAGCATTTTTTAGGTGAAATTTCTTCGAAAAGCGGCTTTTTAGAGTTTGAGTTTTTTGATTTTTACCCAATCTGTAAAGTTTTTAGGCTTAGGAATAGTAAAAACATTTTAGAAACACTTATTTTATTTAAATTATAAAAACTAAATCCTGAGAAAAAAAGTAGATTCCTTACGAAGCTTTTAAGATTTCAAAACTAATTTCAGGGATTCTGGCCGGATGATGGTAAAGCTTTTTAAGCTGGTAAAAAAAGACAGCTTTTTTACTACTTTTTCTATCCCTTCCCTACCCCGAAAAAAAACGATTTAACTCGACGATCGATACCTATAACTTTCTACTAAATTATTTATGGTTTATAACATGTTTTGCACTTCCAGAGACCACCAACCCCGGACGAGTTCTACGGGAGCGTCGAGGAACTTGGGCCGGAGCAGCAGCCGCCGAGGAGGAGCAGTTCTTCCTCCACCTCGCGAAGCCACCGCAGCAGCCCTCGGAAGATCTACGAGATGAAGGCGCCGCCACCGGTTGAAGAACAAGATTAAATCTGTATAACTGTATTATACCATTGATTACATTATATTGCGATTCTCAGATCAATTATTACATCTTCGATTCTGTCGTTGTGAATGTATCAATGCGTGTACTCAAAATTGCTCAATAAAGATGGTTAAAGAAGCAATAGAAATGTTTTGGGGGACTGGACTATTATGGGGGGGGGTTGCAGTGGGTATACTAATTCTTATCTTTTCGCCTATGCCCAGATGTTGACAATATATTAGAATGTATTTTTACAGCGATTTTAGTAGTTTTTGATGCCTCAAAAGCTAAAAAAAATCTAAAAAATTTCGCAAATTCGAAAAATGCCACCTTTTTGGCGTTTTTTATATAATGTTGACCAAAAAGTCGAAAATCTGCGAAATTGTCTCTATTGTCATCAGTTTTCTATAAGAAAACTACGAAAAATTGTATAAAATAGATTAAAATTTGCGTTGGGCCTTACAGAATCACTTGGAAAGATTTGGTTTCCCCCGGCCAAGCCCCCCCCCCCCTGCTAACAGTACAGTACCAAGCTTCCAAAAGAGTCCAGATTTACATAAATTAAGCAAAATTTACATCTACCCTCACATTCCATCCCAATCCAACCGGATGTGCATCAACATTAACATCTGAAATGCGATATGAATTCCACTACTCGGCAAGGAAGCATCATACGAATTCGTCCTCGTGCAACGAATGGTCGTCCGGATGCTGCGCCAGTCTTTGCTCATCTGTGCTCTTCTCCTCCTCGCCGGCCAGCTTCCCGGCGCTCATGCTCAAGAGGTACAGGGTTTTTCACATTCAAACATTTGCTTTTAATAGCATTTTACCAAATTACATGTCTTTTACAGGGCTGCCCGGATGGCTACGGTCGACCCCTCGCCTGCTTCGTCGTCAGGGATTCGGAGCAGCGGTCGGCCGCGGATGTAGGTTTCACCACTATCGCTCTCTCTCACTCTCTCTCCGCCTCACTCTCGCCCGCTGTTTCAGAATGTCCTCTGCCACTGCCCCGTGTCGCCCGGTGCCATCTGCGACAACCATTCGCCCATCACGGTAATAATCCGTCACACGTTGGTATCGAAATGTTCAATTTTAGGTGTTCAACAAGACGATGTGGCTGAACTGCAACTTCGACCTGTTCATCGAGAAAGAAGGGGGATGCTCGACGAAGGATCAGCCGAAGGATGGGCCGAAGGGGATCTGTCTGGCCGGATGGGAGCACGCCGCTGTTCCGCCCGATCCCACCACCACTACCTCGGTATCGCATTGTCCTAGGCTTAGGATACGGATTCTAGACAACAACCACCACCACTACGACGACTACGACAACTACCACTACAACAACGACCACGACGACTACGACCACCACGACAACAACGACAACGACTACGACAACAACCACCACGACAACTACCACTACAACGACCACGAAGCCCCCCTTCGGCGTTTTCGTGCTCAAACCGGATGCCCGAAAGGTGGGAGGTGGTGAACGAAGGCGTAACACCTTTTCCGAGACTAAAGTGTTAACTCTAGTAAATTTTTTTTTACTTCACTTGGATTTTCATTTCGGGACCAAACGCATCGTGTGCAGATTTTTCGCTGATCCCGAACCCATTCCCTAAATTTGCTGCGGGGCTTTGTTTAAAAAGTTATTTAACATACAAATTAAGCCGCCGCCCACTTACCGCAAAAATTATAATATCCTACTATATAGAAAAAAAAACTAGTTCCCGTGTGTGTATGTATGTGTGTGCATTTGCATGCAACTTCCGTCAGCGTGTTCCAGCAGTATCTCAATAAGGGGAGTAGGGTAAGAGTTTACTTTACTCCCCCACAGCCGAAGGTTCTCAAAGTTGTCGGTATTTTCGCTTATTTTGTCGGGATTTTCGCATCGCCATTCGATAGAGCGTCGAATAATATACTAAGAGTTGTAATTTGAGCCTACAATAATGTAAAATAAAAAAGTATAGCCAAAAACTTCCGGCTGGGGGGGAAGTAAACCGTAGCCGGGAGTAGTTAGGGGGTATGTTTTATACCTCAGTAGGTGCGTTATGGCCTTGGTATGACGGCACACTTATAAAATTTTCAAAAAGTCGCTGTTTTCGACGTTAAAATTCAGTTTTTGTTGTAAAATTGAGAGCCCTCTCCGTTAGGACACAATTAGCATACGTCGGAAGTTGCGGCAGCCTATATAAGGGAAGAGAGGTAGCGTCTCTCATTTTTTGTCGTCGAAAAACAGGAGAACTATGCAAATTAACGAACATCAGTGGACCAGACTGGGCCAGGGTTGTAATATAAAAAAGTTATAGCAAAACCAAACAAAAAACATTGAAACTGGTTCCGGAATGTTAGTTTTCGGCATTTTCGCCATTTTTTCGATATTTTCAACCCGTCATTCGATAGAGTATCAAAAAAATTCCATCTAAAAATATTGTTTTATAAAATAGTTATAGCAAAAACAAGGTTTATACGGTGTTTCCACATGGGATCGTGGAGTCGAAAGCTAGTTTTCGACAGTTTCGATAACTTTCAAAAATTCCTTGAATGCCATTCGATAGAGCGTCAAAAATATACTAAGACTCTTAATTACAACTCAAAATAGCATCATATAAAAGTGTTATAACAAAACGAAGAAAATTTCCCCCGGCACAGTTTTTCCCCCACGCGAAATAGAACAGTACCCACAGGGGAAATTGGGTCCCCCCGCTACCAGACCAGAAAGGCCTATTTTACTTTTATTTTTATTTACTTTTACTGTTTGTTTCCACTGGGAAGCGTTTCTCCGGGTGCTGTCCAACACCAGCTCTAGGTCGTCTGATTCCCTATTATTTTTTCAGTGTACTCCCTCGAATACGACTACCGACATGTGCGTCAACTGCAACGTGGGGTTAAGGGTCCCGGATAGAAGGAACAAGGAAACGGGCCGCTGCCCAAAATGCGAAGGGATCGTCGCCGAGGATTGTCCGGTATGGAACTTGTTAACCCTTTTGGAGGTAAACTGCACCCTTGCCAAATATGTGAAATCTGAAAGTGTGTGTGAAGGCACATTGCAATTAAGCTATTCAAACGAGGGCTGTATACAGGCGTTCCTTTCAGTGCGACGACGCCGATCCATATTGCCTGAATTGTGCTCGTCCCGAATGGCAAGATCATCAGGACTGCCATGGATGCCTGAGGACAGAAAATAGCGCCCTTCCCGCCTGTCAATTAAGGTGCATCCAGGACAATGAGGTAATATACAACCAGGCCCGTAGCAGGGGGGGCAGGAAGCCCTCCCCTCCCCCTCCAAAATCAGGCAGGGTCCGAAAAGTGGGCCCCTCCCCCCCCCACCCCGAAATTTCGGCTCCCCCACGGGCCTGTACACAACCTAGCTTGTTTCGGTCCTTCCTGGTTTCCATAGCGCGGTTTGATTTTCTGGAATTGATGTTGTAATGCTTTTTTCAGACCCTCTATATGTCCGAGGATCCCAACTGTCGATACCACCATTTATATCCCATCTATGTGCACCGGTATCCTGGGAACGACGTTTGGGTGGGCCAGCTGTTTTGCAAGGGTTTCCTGGGGACAACCTCCATGATCCACGCTCACAAAATTACCACCAAAATTTCAACTAGCAATTTTTCCTTTTTAAAAATGTGCCGGCTTAAAACAAAGTTAAATTTTACTAGAAAAATATTAAAACACTTTTCGAATCACGAGGGGATTTCATTCGAGAAAGGCGTTTTTGAAAACATTAAAGTAAAAACTGGGCTGATTCAAGCGTCCCTGGACCCCACACTCCGTTTATTCGACGCCTTTTGAAAAACTTGCTTTTAGTGGCACATAGCCTACACGGGCCCTAAATACAAGCCAGACAAGGTTGGTTCTTCAGTGTGACGACAGTTTTATCAAATAACCTTTGTCGATACACAAATCATAAAAATTTTCCAGCGCGTCCGTCGTGAAGTTGCCGCTTCTGGAGCGCCAATCAAGCGGATCCGTCTTCGTCAGCGCACCAAGCGAGATGAGGATCCGAACGTGTTCATCTACTACCCAATCAACCCCACTTACAACGCCAAGTGCCGCCGGGAAGATTTTGACAAACTGGTTTGTCGTTCCTTTTCCTACTTAAGTTTTGACTCTAGACTGCAAATGAACTGGCGATGGCGTCGATGAAGCTGCATTTTGGATGTTACGAAGGGACATGGTGCGAGGAGCAGAATGCCTTTCCTAGGTATCATCACAATCCATTCGTTCCGATCATTCCCCATCCCTTTAAAGCGAAATCTTGGCCAACGACTCGCTGGCCCGCATCTGCTACCCGCGTCCGTTGAAGACCTACATCCTCGGCAAGGGCAGATACAAGCCGGTGAGTATCGTTTTGTAGAGAATCACATGGCGGTGACAATTCCCCGTCCGAAGTATGATGTATTGCGTATTTTCAGTGGTGCACCGATCCTCACGGCAATCAGTTCGAGCCGAAGAATGTGGCGAGTTGGGGATGTATGGTACTGCCGTTCTGCAAACTGGACCAACCGGGAGAATTCGATGAGTCAGTCCGCATCACAGTCTCATCCATTATCCCCTGTATTTTACAGACAAAAATACCTGAGGCCTGTAGCTGAAAACGGAGATCTGCTGAACTGCATGGATATTTGTCCAAGAAATGAGAATGGCCGTGGATTGACGGACAAACCGGATTGTCGACCCATCCCTAGCAATCCGGAAAACGACTATTTCGGTGTCCTCAGTATTACGGTAGATATCTCTTCTGATTCGCCACAATACTCTTTACAGGAAAAGATGGATTGGTGCGACGCGGAGAAGTCGACTCACAAAGACCCGTGGTCACTCAATCCGCCGTGCAATCCGATTCCGCAGTGTCGAGGAAATGTCGACGGACGTGCGGTGGGTTTTCTAGTCGTCATTCAGACAGAAGATGATCATCTACCACGAGACAATTGCCGTATTTCAGCCGGATGCGAGGGATTGGCGCAAGAATCTGCTCTACTACCAGAAAAATGTCGCCGGTGTCCCATGCGTCGTCTACAAGCAGTGCAGTGCTTTGACGGAAGAGGAGAGGATGAAGGTGGGAGACTTGTGAAGGGGTGGAGGTAGATGAACACTTCTTTCAGTACCATTGCGTCGGCTCGGCCATGACAACGAGCACGACAAAAGCCTCGACGACGACAACGGCAAAGACGACTGCAAAGACAACGACCGAGAAACCGAATGACGGGCTGGGGGATGAGGTCATCTTGATTGCAGGTAGCGTATTTGATCGTACTTGTTGAACTCGTTTCTTCAGCCTTGGGTTCAACTCTGCTGGTGTTCATCATGCTGACCGTCATCGTGTTGTGCTGCTGTCTGAAGAAGAAGGCCAAGGGCCCGAAAGGAAAGAAACCGATTGTCGATGACATGGTGGGTAGAGAGGCGTTGAGAGAGTATTGGTGGTAATGCGGAATCTAAATTGCCTGTTTGTAGATGAACGTCGGCGCCGGCAACATCAGCGTCGACATGGACGTCGTGCCGGTCACCAACACGGAGGCCGCATCTGATACGACCGAAACCACCAAGTGTAAGTGAAGGCTTCTAGCGAGAAATTTGGAACTCGGTGCTCAACTACAACAAGCTTTTCAGGACGGTCGGACCATCACTCGACATCGCTCCCTCGCCGTGATGACGGCCTTGATACTCGCCAACTAACAACTCGACGCATCCCAGCCCCATGCCCTTTGCATTGTTTTGTAGTATGATGACCCCTCTCTGTATCCCATTCTTTTGTATGTGTATCCGTTTTCATCGTATCTACTGTCCATCTCTGCAATAAAACGGGTGCTTGGGCTGACATCGCATCGCACGAAATGAAATGACCTAAAAAATGTGGTGTTTCAGCGACGTGAACCACCATAGAATAAGAGCCAGAAACGAGAGAGAGAGCGGAAAACATACAAATAACATACGCCAATCAAACGGGCCAAAAACGGCAACGTACCGGGAGGGTCAAAAGCGTCCATAGGACCCGGACGTAGCGCGCGTCAAAGAATTGCAGCTCTTCTAACTTTTTCAAACCTACTTAATATTGCAAACCCAGTATCAATTTTTGCAGAGTAGAATTTTACAGTTCGAATGATATCAAAGACAGCGCGTTAGCCCGTCCGAAATGCCGCGTTTCAGAAAGTCGCCAACAAAAACCGCGTTCATTTTAATAGTTTGTGAACTCACAAGGGAAGTGCACGACCGGCCCATGAGAAATCGACAAGAAACATAGTGGATCTGATAGAATCGGACACGGGGATTCCGAATCTGTAATCAGAATTTGCTAAATAAAACGGAGAAAAAAGTTATGAAGCTTCAAAGTTGGCAAAATCGCCCAAAATCGGACTTTTATGGGCCTGTAAAGGCCCAGGGAATGAAAATTTGCCACAACCCATTAGTGCATCTTGTTCAGCAGAAAAAGCGCTTTCGAATGAGCTATCTTACAAGGAGACGTTTTTGAGTGTCGTCGGGACTTTGGCATGGGACCAAGCCTATTTTGTGCAGAATTTTACGCTGATTCCGAATATGTTAACCGTTTTTGCGGAATCGCCATTTCTCGAAAGTTATGAACGATTTAAACCTCAAAACAGCCCAAAATCTGCTACTTTCGATAGTCATAAAAGGCTTCGGGGTAGGGTTTAGACAAAACTTGATAGTGCATCTTGTTCAGAAAAAAATTCTCTATAAAATAAGCCACTTAACTCAAAAATGCTAGAATTTTGAAAATTTTTGTAAAATTATGGACCTCCCAATTTATCAAATTTTTCCAGCTTTTCAATGATTTTGGAAAAGATGGCACATTTTATAGAGAATTTTTTTCTGAACAAGATGCACTATCTGGTTTTGTCTAAAACCTATTTTGAAGCCTTTTATGACTATTGAAAGTAGCCGATTTTGGGCTGTTTTGAGGTTTAAATCGTTCATAACTTTCGAGAAATGGCTATTCCGCAAAAACGGTTAACATATTCGGAATCAGCGTAAAATTCTGCACAAGATAGGCTTGGTCCCGTGCAAAAGTCCCGACGACACTCAAAAACGTCTCCTTGTTAGTTCAAGTTTACGATGATTTCGCGAAAATCTCTTCTATGAACTTGACAGGTATACCCTTGCCCGTGAATCCAAAAAACTTTTTTCAGTGAATTGTTTGCAAATGCTACGTATTACAACTCATTCGCAAGCGCTTTTTCTGCTGAACAAGATGCACTAATTCTTTTCTCCTCAATTCCGTTCCCCCGGTTTTTACGGGCCCTTAAAGTTACCGTTTTTGGCGATTTGGCCAACTTTGAAGCTTCATCAGAATCTCCGCTTTATTTAGCAGATTCTAATTACAGATTCGGAATCCCCGTGTCCGATTCTATCAGATCCACTATCTCTCGTGTCGATTTCTCGTGGGCCGGTCGTGCACTTCCCTTGTCAGTTTCCTTACAAGGAGTCGTTTTTACGTGATATTGGAGTTTTTGAGCGAGAATATATAAAGGCACCAAAGGGGTATTTTTTAACATTGCGGCTCGCGAGACTTAAGCAAGTTGACAACCCTCAATGGATAAGACATGGCCAGGGTTGAAACGACGCGAAGCGGTTTTTCAACCCTGGTAAGAGCTTAAACTCTTTGGCAAGCGCTACGCCTGAGTTAACGTATTAACATAAGCAAAACGAACTTCGTCCACGATTAGCATTTGCAATTTGATAGAAAATTGCTTTCGCGATGACGGCTCATTCTACGAATTGGTCCTCGTCCGCGGATGGTCGTTAGAATGTTGCGGAAATTGCTGCTCATCTGTGCGCTCCTTCTCCTCGACGTCCAGCTCCCTGGTGCTCGTGCTCAAGAGGTACAGGAAAAATTCTTTTCTTCATTCTTTTCCAAATTCGAGCATCCTATTAATGGCATTCGTGCTAAGGGTCTATTGCAGGGCTGCCCGGATGGCTACGGTCGACCTCTCGCCTGCTTCGTCGTCAGGGATTCGGAGCAGCGATCGGCCGCGGATGTAGGCTTCACCACTCTCGCTCTCTCTCTCTGTATCTCTCTCAGTCTCGCTGTTTCAGAATGCCCTCTGCCACTGTCCTGTGCCCCCCGATGCAGTCTGCGACAACCATTCACCCATCAGGGTAATAATCGTCACTCATTTGTATCAAAATCTCTGAATTTAGATATTCAACAAGACGCTGTGGCTGAACTGCAACTTCGACCTGGTCATCGAGAAAGAAGGGGGATGCTCGACGAAGGATCAGCCGAAAGATGGGCCGAAGGGGATCTGTCTGGCCGGATGGGAGCACGCCGCTGTTCCGCCCGATCCCACCACTACTACATCGGTCTGACATGCTCCTTACCTTGTTAGGATTTGGATTCTAGACGACAACCACCACGACGACCACGACTACCACAACGTCGACATGGGCTCCATTTGGCGTTTTCGCGCCCAAACCGGATGCCCGAAAGGTGAGTGGTGGTCGGCGAGGACGTATTAGCCAATTTAGCCAAAAATTGGTTGTTTCGACCCAAAATACTAAAATTACCTTTTCAAAGATTTTTCAATTTTCACGGTTTGTTTACTTGAAATATAAATAAACTTGCTCATTCCCGCGAATCCTAAAGAACCGGAATGTTTTCTCGACGGGCCAAGGCCATCGGCTTCAAGTACTAATTTTCAGTGCACGCCGGGCATTGATAATGTCCACACGTGCGTCAATTGCAATGCCAATAATGTACATGCGGACAAAAGGAACAAGGAATCGGGTCTCTGTCCAAAATGCGAAGGGATCGTCGCCGAGGATTGTCCGGTATGCTAGATACGATTCTGTAGTTGAAATCCGCCTGAATATGGTATACTCTATGAAAAAACTAGGGTTTTTGTGGGTTCTTTAGGATTTCCGGGGGAGTACAGGGTGTCCCAATAAAAAAGGTCACGCTGGCATTCTGCTATTTCAAATCCGACCGACTTGAAATTTTGCACAGAGGTGCGGAAGGGAATTCAAAATGTTCACAGAAATTTTCAGCCCGATCGGTACAGTAGTTTTCGAGTTATTGTAAAAATACTGTTTTTCCCACACTTTAGCTTCTTTTTTTCGCCTATCTTTTTGGACTTTGCATCAATTAACATAAATTTCCGGCTCTAAACCCCTTATTCTTCTTAACATCGGCGTCGTTAGCCCTTGTTAAAAACGACTTAAATAACCTATTTTCGACCTGAATTTTGCGAAATAAAAAAATTCCTAGGATAAAAAAGGGTCGGCGCTTCATTTTCTCCATACATTCCAGGGCTCAATTCCGGCGGAATCCAGGTGAAAAACGTAAAATAAAGTTTATTTTTGCTATAACTCGAAAACTACTGTACCGATCGGGCTGAAAGTTTCTGTGAACTTTTTGAACTCACTGCCGCACCTCTGTGCAAAATTTCAAGTCGATCGGATTTGAAATAGCAAAATGCCAGCGTGACCTTTTTTATTGGGACACCCTGTATTTCCGGGGGACCAAATTTTTTCGGCCCAAGCCTAAATTTTTTTATAAATAGCACATGCGTTTCTAAATGGTTTTTAGCTCTTCCTGAGCATAAAAACCACCCACATTTTAATTAAAAAATTTAATTTTAGGTCGAAAAATCCTATAGAACCTTTAGGATTAGCAGGGGGGGTAAAGACCTAAAATGACTAAATTTTCGACTTTTCAAACATTTTTCTAACTTTTTTGAAAGGTTTTTCTACTTTAAATATAGTTAAAATTTGCTAAAAACAATGTGAAAACACTTTATATTTGATTACTGGGTCAACCGGGAAAACCAGGAAAAAATTTGGTTCCCCCCCCCCGGAAATCCTAAAGAACCTTTTTGTGTTTGTCTGTGTGTGCCACCTTGCGTGCAACTTCAGTCAGCTTGTCCAGCAGTTTCTCAATAGCAAAAAAGTTTGTAAGATAGGTATGATACGCCATTAGACGCGCAATATCTCCGAGATCACTGTACAAATCAGGGCCCGTACCATAACCTGTTTACCACCCCATTTCCGGCTTACTACCCCTAGTAAACTTTTGACCACCCCGGTAACCCGACTAGTAAACGTCGTTACTCGCCCTAGTAAGCGGAAACTAGGTTGTTTTGTGCTCAGAAATGATCCTAGGGTCGATAACCTTGCGTTTGCGCAGTAAAAAACACCTACAGAAATAAATCAATCCGGCGTTAAGTTGACTAAAAAAATTTACTACCCCAGGCGCGGAGTTTACCGCACCGGTAACCCGTTCTTACTGCCCAAATGAAAAAGCTTACCACCCCCTTAAAAAGTTTACTAGTGGCCTAAAAATTTTTTACTAGGGGTGGTTTGCCACATTTGGTAAACAGGCGGTAGTCGGCTCTATTTTAAAAAGAGTTTAAACTTAAATATCATAACTTTTGAAAGTTTTTCAAAGATGTTATTGGGTAGTCCAGTCCCTCAGCGACACACTTCGGTGAGGAAATTGCTCAAGTTTTTGCTCAGTCGCAAGAAAAATGAACGCAAAGTGTTTACCACACCAGTAAACGACTATCCTCAACTTTGCAAGTTGGTAAACTTTATTACTTCCCCACTAAATTTTGTGCTTTGGTGAGTCAATTTTCTCACAAGAGTGGGGACATAGTCTAACCCATAAAAACATTCGGGAGCAACGAAAAAACACTTTAGGCAACCCTTTAGGCCTTTCTGGGAAACTTTGCCCCCCGCCGGCAATCTTTTTTTTTCTCTTCTGCTTCAATGTCTTTCGTACTGCGTCTTGACACCCGATGCGTTTTTCCATACCCATCTTGGGGTAGTAACATAGGTTACTATCCCTAGTAAATATAACTGCCGCTGTAATAACACTTTCTCCCCCAAAGGTTAATGATAGGTATATTATAGCCTACGTAAATGACCTTGGGCTTGACATTACCGGCGCAAAAGCCTCTTTGGCTATATAAGTTCGAATTAGTAAACTAAACTTTTTGCCAGGGGTCGTGAACGGGTTCACTACCCCTACTAAGAAGTTCACCTGTGGTGGTAAAAAGTTCACTAGGGGCAGTAAACTTTAGATTTTTACTTGGGGTGGTGAAAAGTTATGGTACCAGCCCAGATTTTGAAAAATATGTTCCTTCTGTTTTGAGATGATCGATGATTTGAGCTAGAGATTGCTTTCAGTGCGACGACGCGGATCCGTATTGCATGAACTGTGCTCGTCCCGAATGGCAAGATCATCAAGACTGCCATGGGTGCCGGTATGCTGGAGACAACGCTCATCCCTCCTGTCAAATCAAGTGCCTCGTACCAGGCGACCAGGTAGGCTACACTCTAGTTCGCTTCTTCCCGGGTTACCGGAGTGTAGATTGATTTTATGGAATCGAAGCTGTAAAATCTTCCAGCCAAAACATTTCTACATGTCGAAGCATCCCAACTGTCGATACCATCATCTCTGGCCCGTCTATCTGCACCAAGAGCCTGACGGAATATGGGTGGGCCAGCCGTTTTGCAAGGGTCCCCTGGAGATAACTTCCAGAGTCTCCGATCACAAAATCAACCACACGAAAATCCATCATAGGAACGCAGCCGACGCAAAAAAAACAGATCTTGACAACCGAGATTACAGCTAACAATGTTTCTTTTTTTAAAAGGTTTTGGTTTAAAAACAGTTAAAAAATTTTTAAATCTTGTAAAAAATGTTCTAGCAATTTCTGACGTAAGGAATCCACGTTTTTAGAGTAATTCGGCCACGTCGAAACGCTTATTATACTCTACGCATCCATGAGGGGGCTTATGACTGAAAAGTTGCCGCTGGGGGGCGTCCATGGACTTTGCTCTCTCGACGCCTCTTGAAATACTCACTTTCAGTGGTGAATAACCGTGTTCGGCCCTACCTACAAGCCAGAGAAGGTTCGTCTTTCAGTGCCCAAGTTTTTTCGAAAACCTTTCTCGAGACACTAATAACCATGATTCTACAGCGCCTCCGTCGTGACGTTGCGGCTTCAGGAGCGCCAATCAAACGGATCCGCCTCCGCCAGCGCACCAAGCGAGATGAGGATCCGAACGTGTTCATCTACTACCCGATCAACCCCACTTACAACGCCAAGTGCCGCCGGGAAGATTTTGACAAAATGGTTTGTCGTTCCTTTTCCTACTTGAGTTTTGACTTTAGACTGCGCATGAACTGGCGATGGCGTCGATGAAGCTGCATTTTGGATGTTACGAAGGGACATGGTGCGAGGAGCAGAATGCCTTTCCGAGGTATCATCACAATCCATTCGTTCCAACCATTCTCCACCCCTTTAAAGTGAAACCTTGGCCAATGCCTCGCTGGCCCGCATCTGCTACCCGCGTCCGTTGAAGACCTACATCCTCGGCAAGGGCAGATACAAGCCGGTGAGTATCGTTTTGTAGAGAATCACATGGCGGTGACAATTCCCCGTCCGAAGTATGATGTATTGCGTATTTTCAGTGGTGCACCGATCCTCACGGCAATCAGTTCGAGCCGAAGAATGTGGCGAGTTGGGGATGTATGGTACTGCCGTTCTGCAAACTGGACCAACCGGGAGAATTCGATGAGTCAGTCCGCATCACAGTCTCATCCATTATTCCCTGTATTTTACAGAAAAAAATACCTGAGACCTGTAGCTGAAAACGGAGATCTGCTGAACTGCATGGATATTTGTCCAAGAAACGAGAATGGCCGTGGATTGACGGACAAACCGGATTGTCGACCCATCCCTAGCAATCCGGAAAACGACTATTTCGGTGTCCTCAGTATTACGGTAGATATCTCTTCTGATTCGCCACAATACTCTTTACAGGAAAAGATGGATTGGTGCGATGCGGAGAAGTCGACTCACAAAGACCCGTGGTCACTCAACCCACCGTGCAATCCGATTCCGCAGTGTCGAGGAAATGTCGACGGACGTGCAGTGGGTTTTCTAGTCTTCATTCAGACAGAAGATGATCATCTACCACGCGACAATTTCAGCCGGATGCGAGGGATTGGCGCAAGAATCTGCTGTACTACCAGAAAAATGTCGAAGGTGTCCCATGCGTCGTCTACAAGCAGTGCAGTGCTTTAACGGAAGAGGAGAGGCTGAAGGTGGGAGACTTGTGAAGGGATGAAGGTAGATGAACACTTCTTTCAGTACCATTGCGTCGGCTCGGCCATAACAACGAGCACGACAAAAGCCTCGACGACGACAACTGCAAAGACGACTGCAAAGACAACGACCGAGAAACCGAATGACGGGCTGGGGGATGAGGTCATCTTGATTGCAGGTAGAGTATGGGATCCTACTTGTTCAACTCGTTTCTTCAGCCTTGGGTTCAACTCTGCTGGTGTTCATCATCCTGACCGTCATCGTGTTGTGCTGCTGTCTGAAGAAGAAGGACAAGGGCCCGAAGGGAAAGAAGCCGATTGTCGATGACATGGTGGGTAGAAGGGCTTTGAGAGAGTATTGTGGTACTGCGGGGTCTAACATGGCCTGTTTGAAGATGAACGTCGGCGCCGGCAACATCAGCGTCGACATGGACGTCGTGCCGGTCACCAACACGGAGGCCGCATCTGATACGACCGAAACCACCAAGTGTAAGTGAAGGCTTCTGGCGAGAAATTTGGAACTCCGTGCTCAACTACAACAAGCTTTTCAGAACGATCCAACCATCATTCGACATCGCTCCCTCGCCGTGATGACGGCCATGATACTCGCCAACTAACAACTCGACGCATCCCAGCCCCATGCCCTTTTGCATTGTTTTGTAGTATGATGCCCCCTCTCTGTATCCCATTCTTCTTTTGTATGTGTATCCGTTTTCATCGTATCTACTGTCCATCTCTGCAATAAACCGGGTGCTTGGGCTGGCATTGCATCGCACGAAATGAAATGACCAGAAAAATGTGGTGTTTCAGCGACGTGAACCAACATAGAATAAGAGCCAGAAACGAGAGAGAGAGCGGAAAACATACAAATAACATACGCCAATCAAACGGGCCAAAAACGGCAACGTACCGGGAGGGTCAAAAGCGTCCATAGGACCCGGACGTAGCGCGCGTCAAAGAATTGCAGCTCTTCTAGCCTTTTCAAACTTACTTAATAATGCAAACCCAGCATCATTTTTTTGCAGAGTAGAATTTTACGTTTCGAATGATGTCAAAGACAGCTCTTTAGCCCGTCCGAAATGCCGCTTTTCAGCAATCCGCCAACAAAAACCGCCTTCATTTTAATAGTTTGTGAACTCAGTTTCTTTACAAGGATTCGTTTTTACGTGATATTGGAGTTTTTGAGCGAGAATATATAACGGCACCGAAGGGGTATTTTAACATTGCGGCTCGCGAGACTTATGCAAGTTGACAACCCTCAATGGATAAGACATGGCCAGGGTTGAAACGACGCGAAGCGGTTTTTCAACCCTGGTAAGAGCTTAAACTCTTTGGCAAGCGCTACGCCTGCGTTAACGTATTAGGTAAGAGTCTAGAAACTAGGGTTGTTTCTCGGAACAGACCGAGATTCGGAACATTCGGAACAGCAACCGTTCCGACTGTTCCGAATGTCGGAACGGTCCGAGATTCGCGTGTTCCGGCTGTTCCGAGATTCGGAGCATTCCGAGATTCAAATGTTGCGGTTGTTCCGAGATTCATATTGTTCCGACTGTTCCGAGATTCGGAACGTTCCGAGATTTGGCTGTTCCGACTGTTCCGAGATTCGGAACAGTCCGAGATTGAGCCGTTCCGAGATTCAAATTTTTTCGCATGTAGATTTCGATTTCGTGTAAATTGTGTAGATTGCATGTAACTGTTTCGATTTTGCCGTGACACGGCAGTGTGGGCGCATCTGAACACTTAATTCCGTCGATGGTTAGATATCGAATCTGGAAATTAAGGAAATGAGAACGAATTGGGGATCGAATCGAATCGAAATTCAGTCGTGTTTGGAAATTTACATGCGAAAAAGTTTGAATCTCGGAACAGCGCAATCTCGGACTGTTCCGAATCTCGGAACAGTCGGAACAGCCAAATCTCGGAACGTTCCGAATCTCGGAACAACCGCAACATTTGAATCTCGGAATGTTCCGAATCTCGGAACAGCCGGAACACTTTGAATCTCGGAACAACCGCAACATTTGAATCTCGGAATGTTCCGAATCTCGGAACAGCCGGAACACGCGAATCTCGGAACGTTCCGACCAGTATTTGTTCCGAAAGTTCCGAATCTCGGTCTGTTCCGAGAAACAACCCTACTAGAAACCCCCCAGCCGACACAAACTTTTGTATCTCGGCCCCCCTTTGTGCTAGCGAGCTCTAAAGTATACCAAAATGTTCGCCGTAGGCTAATTAGTAAGACTACATTGCAGTTGAGTCGAAAAAAGTAGCGAAAAATAAAAAGAAGGAAGGTAGAAAAGTTGAAAAGTCGGATGGGGGGGTGTCCTAGACTTGAGCCACGTATTAACATAAGCAAAACGAACTTCGTCCACGATTAGCATTTGAAATGTGATAGAAAATCGCTTTCCCGATGACGGCTCATTCTACGAATTGGTCCTCGTCCGCGGATGGTCGTTAGGATGTTGCGGAAATCGCTGCTCATCTGTGCGCTCCTCCTCCTCGGCGTCCAGCTCCCTGGTGCTCGTGCTCAAGAGGTACAGGAAAAATTCTTTTCTCAATTCTTTTCAAATTCGAGCATCCTATTAATGGCATTCGGGGAAAATTTCACTTTACGGTAACTAAATAAAATGTCGATTTTTCGATTGGAATCGATAGATCTCGTCGAGTTCTACCATTTCCAGTTGAAAAAACTATTGGGACTCGCTTCTAAAAAAAGTTATAAACATTTTAAATTGGCTAGTTCACTTTACGGTAACTAAATAAAATCTCGATTTTTCGACTGGAATCGATAGATCTCATCGAGTTCTCGCGTTTCCCGTTGAAAAAACGATTGGGACTCGCTTTTAACGAAAGTTACAAATGGTTTAAAGTGGTTGGTTCACTTTACGGTAACCTCGTAAAAATGCGATTTTTCGCCTGGGATAAATAGATCTCATCGAGTTCTTGCATTTACAATTGAAAAAACCTTTGGGAAAGTTGTTCGGAGGAGGCTACACTATATTTTTGACATTTGACTGTGACATTGTCAGGCAAGGCGGGCCGTCGCTTCGGATGGGCTGCCGCTCCACTCTTTCAAAATGGGGGCGCCCCCGGCCGCTTCGCCGGCCTTGGCGCCCCCATTTCGAAACCCTGTACGAGCTCGCACCCATCCGAAGCGACTAGCCCCCGGTGGCACGAAGCCTTTTTCTAGTCGCAGAGCGGAGGAAGTAGCGATCACTTCCCTCCAAATTGAGTGACTTCCGTTGCAAAACCGTCATTTTTATGTTTCAGAAATTCAGAAATTCGGAGGAAGTGCAAAATGTGTGCTAATAAAGTTTTTCCTGCGCCTTTTGCAGCGGCCCCGTATTTGGTACCCCAGTACGTTCACAACTATTACGTTTTTTCCGTACAAAGGAGCCCCTCGTAGTCGGAACCGACTTTTTCGATCCGGGGTGAATTGGTTTAAAACAGCTATAACTTTTGTTAAAAGCGAGTCCCAATCGTTTTTTCAACGGGAAACGCGAGAACTCGACGAGATCTATCGATTTCAGTCAAAAAATCGATATTTTATTTAGTTACCGTAAAGTGAACTAGCCAATTTAAAATGTTTATAACTTTTTTTAGGAGTGAGTCCCAATAGTTTTTTCAACTGGAAATGGTAGAAGTCGACGAGATCTATCGATTCCAATCGAAAAATCGACATTTTATTTAGTTACCGTAAAGTGAAATTTAGCCGGCATTCGTGCTAAGGGTCTATTGCAGGGCTGCCCGGATGGCTACGGTCGACCCCTCGCCTGCTTCGTCGTCAGGGATTCGGAGCAGCGATCGGCCGCGGATGTAGGCTTCACCACTCTCGCTCTCTCTCTCTCTCTCTCTCTCTCTCTCTCTCTCTCGCTCTCTCACTCTCGCCGTTTCAGAATGCTCTCTGCCACTGCCCTGTGGCCCCCGATGCAGTCTGCGACAACCATTCGCCCATCAAGGTAATAATCGTCACTCATTTGTATCAAAATCTCTGATTTTAGGTGTTCAACAAGACGCTGTGGCTGAACTGCAACTTCGACCTGTTCATCGAGAAAGAAGGGGGATGCTCAACGAAGGATCAGCCGAAGGATGGGCCGAAGGGGATCTGTCTGGCCGGATGGGAGCACGCCGCCGTTCCGCCCGATCCCACCACCACTACATCGGTTTGGCATGCTCCTTACCTTGTTAGGATTTGGATTCTAGACGACAACCACCACGACGACCACGACTACCACAACGTCGACATGGGCTCCATTTGGCGTTTTCGCGCCCAAACCGGATGCCCGAAAGGTGAGTGGTGGTCGGCGAGGACGTATTAGCCAATTTAGCCAAAAATTGGTTGTTTCGACCCAAAATACTAAAATTACCTTTTCAAAGATTTTTCAATTTTCACGGTTTGTTTACTTGAAATATAAATAAACTTGCTCATTCCCGCGAATCCTAAAGAACCGGAATGTTTTCTCGACGGGCCAAGGCCATCGGCTTCAAGTACTAATTTTCAGTGCACGCCGGGCATTGATAATGTCCACACGTGCGTCAATTGCAATGCCAATAATGTACATGCGGACAAAAGGAACAAGGAATCGGGTCTCTGTCCAAAATGCGAAGGGATCGTCGCCGAGGATTGTCCGGTATGCTAGATACGATTCTGTAGTTGAAATCCGCCTGAATATGGTATCCTACTATCAACTATAATAATTTTCTTGACGCGTCTGTCTGTCCGTGTGAAGCCGAATTCAACTCGAAGGGGAAAGGAGCTAAAGCTTAGCTCTCTTCGGATTCGGATAGAGCGCCGTCAGAAACCCCCAAACTGATAAAAAAATTATGAAAAAGTTTTAGTTTAAATTATTAAAATTAACTTTGAAAGTGGCGCCTTAATAAAACGAGTGGGGGCCCCTTTTCCGGGAGGCCACGCCCCCTTTCCCTTCGCCCATCTTCCCCAGGCCCCTTCCCGCGCCCAAATAGCTTTTTAAGTTACTTTAATACCTTTAATACTTTTTAATACTTTTTAATTATGTTAATTAATTATTTAAATCATCTAAAGCCATCGGGAAGGTATTTAGGTAGTTTTTGAAGGGGATTTCAGCCATTGGGGGTATCTGAAGCCATCAGGAAGGTATTTAGGTAGTTTTTGAAGGGGATTTCAGCCATGGGGGGTATCTGAAGCCATCAGGAAGGTATTTAGGTAGTTTTTGAAGGGGATTTCAGCCATGGGGGGTATCTGAAGCCATCGGGAAGGTATTTACGTAGTTTTTCAAGGGGATTTCGTCTCAAGGAGGTATCTGTAGCCATTAGCGGGGGTATTTTTGGAAAGGTAGGGATGGATGTGATGGTGTATGGCATGAAGGGAAGCCCGAAGGCCAGATGGTTACAGTCGCGAAGCGACTGGAACCATCTGGTAATATATAAAAAAATAGTGTCTGTGTGTGTGTGTCTGTGTGTGCCACTTTGCATCCACTTCCGTCTGTCTGTCCGGCCGGAGGATATCTCGATA